TGAGCTTATTTTAATATATATATATATATATATATATATATATATAGCAGCTAGGTTTCTCGAAGGTATAGAGCCTATCCTATTCGACCATCTCAAATCGATCTCTTGCATCAAGATGCTTGCAACCTAAGTAGTTCTAGATCTTACTTCAAAATACTTTTTTTTTTTTCGACGGACAAGAATAGTTTTGTGTTTTGTGTTGGCGTCCAAAGCTCTAAATTACACATTTCTGGTTCACACAAATAACACTAGGCTTGCGCGTGTCAGTGAGATTTAGTATCTGCAGATTTGTTACGAAACAAAAAATCGTCTCTATGTTTCTGACGTCTGAAACAATCGCTTTCGTGTATTAGCGGCACACGATGGAGTGGGATGACATTCTACTAACAAGAACCGATATAAAATGTCTGACAAATCAATTGAAAGCGACTGTAAGGGTACGTAAGCCTTGCAACTAGGCGAAGTTGCGTCCGCAAGTATCGCCGTCCACAAGGCTCTCGACCTAAAATTAATGCCTGTGCCTTTTCAGTCAGTATCGACGCACCTGATTAGCATAATGAAGATAGGCATATCTGTTTGGCGATCAGCTTTTGCCACAGTTAGGCTACCTTCAAGTAGAAGCTAGCTACATGTTCACCCGTTCGCTAATTTTCAAACAAGGGAAGATTGTTCGTTTGGTGATGTGGTGTTAAGAAGCAATCTAACCAGAGTGAGTCCCATGCTAGTTCTATCTAGATATATAATACCATCACGTTCGTTCCCAAAGACACATTAGAGTGGCCTAGGAGCATAGGTATGAACTTATAATACATAATAGGTCTATTTACCACATGATGCTAACTAACATAAAGCGTACACAGCACTTGCTTGACAGAGGCATTCGAGCCAAAACGCATATATACATTCATCGTCGCCAGTAACAGCACACGAATCTCTTGATAATTTCCCTGATCTATTAAAAATCAATAGATACCAATAAAAACCAATAGATATTCACGTAGTCAGGTTTACATAGTACCAATGTAATACCGTCGTAACTGACTAGGCCTAGCACCTGAGCTGCTAAGCGCGCCCTTGTTTTGTGAGAGGGAACGTTGATGAAGGATGAAAGATAGCACAACAGGTTACGTAACCTCGAGTGACCTTATTGAACATTCGAAGTCAGATTCCGGCTTATCAACAATCTCGGTAATGATTCAAGAAATCGAAATACGAAGCACCGGAACTAGCGGAAACGGATATACAGCCTATATGAAATTTCGGCAGGACAGAAGGTCTGACGTTTCTATACTTTGGATAATGAAAACACTAAAAATATCAGTTATTTTTATAGACAAGCCTGCAATGAAGCGACCATGATCAGCAACGTCAACATTCGCCACCGATAGAGCAAATAATCACGGAGGAGATTTGTGCTTATGTTGATTACAGCGCACGACTCTGTCACACCAATCCGTTAAAATCAGTTTTTAAGGAAAGATTTTCATGAGGTTATTGTTCTATGATACGCCTGAACTCGTCCTAAACACGCAAGGTTTTATTATGGAGGTATATGTAAGCAGTGCACCTTGTTGAACTTTTCGGTAGAGTTTACACATACTACAACGAATAGCACCTATTGCCAGGCGTCGAGCTACTGTATTGGAAAAAAAAACAGAATATGTCTACTTGACGTGTCTGGGCAGAAATGTGATGCTGAAAGCTACCACGGTAAGCAAGATCTCTAAAAGGGTTAGTTTCAGTCTGCCTACTTTCCAAAGCAAAAAACAAAAATCAAATATTTGCACAACTATACGATGCTTAACGTTATACCCCGTCAGCTTTATTTTTCCAAAGGTGAAACAGCTATCATGTAAAAATTGTATAGCGCGATATACTATGTAAGCTGCATAAGTTACTGGAAATGATAAACATCTATCTGACGTTCCGGAAGTTGATCACTCATCCCTCAACTAGTATTCCTTTGCATGTTTCTTTAAATATCGTATTAAGTTGTCTTCCCAGTTACTGGACGAAGCGAACGGCGTCGCTCTTTCGAAGTTTGCGTGGGAAAGGGAAATCCGGTATCCTGCTTTATACGGATGAGCTCCTTTCGAAATGTCAATTGAAATCTTTTTAGGGTTTCGTAGCGTCTGCCATTTACTGCCACTTAGCCTGAAGTTGAAGTTTCCTGCATTGGGGTTCGTGCTACTTAGTTCACTTTTAAGTAGAACTTTATTATGGCTCACTACTGAGCCATTTAAATGATTTAGTGTGTTAAACGAACTCTAAATTTTACGAGGTGACAATGCCACTTGCTAAAGATTCTTGTGCTTTTGAATAAATAATGATAATTAGAAATAGACTGAACATAACTGACGGGTTAGTCCACACTGCAATGAAAAAAGTTTCTAGCACGCACAATAAGATCGGCGGTCCTATTTTATTTAGTCCTCGAACCTCGAGAAAATTATCGTTGTTCTGTGGGTAGGTATTTCTGAATGATTATGATTATCAATCCTGCAGGCCTATTTAGGACGTTGGTCCATCAAGCTGCTGAGTGCGCGATTTTCCTCTCTAAAAATAGTTTATCGTGGCTTTTGTAGGACGTCTAATTCATTTACTAGGTATGTGAATTATTTGACGATTCTCTATCACAAGCTATTTTGCCTGATGATGTTTTCGTTTGCGATGGCCCTTGTGGCATATAGCCATGAAGACTTTCTCGCCCGTTAGCACCATTCGTAGACCCGACATCGATCCTTGTACGCAAACTTATCTTTGACACTGAAGTATATTTCTCATTTTGCATTTGTAAAATCTTTTCAGAATGTTAAAAGCTTGTTTAGTTCTGTTCCATTCCAACACGGGTTGGGTATCTCGATAGAATAAACACTATAGACTAGAAAGCTCACATATAATTATAGCTATTTTATCACATAATATACGGCGTCGCGCAATATTCCGCTAGCTGCTAGACGAACATTGCACTCGGGACTTTGTTTATTACAATGAATTTTAGAAAATGTCAGCCTCATGCACTTGTCTGAGTTACAACAGCATCAGATCAAACCTGCCTTTCAGAATCATCAATTAATTCAGCTGATAGAGTTGTTGGCAAAGTGAAATTTGCTCGACAGGGCTTGGGGATAGATGACGACAGGATGTATCTGGTGATAATCCTGAATTGGCGGCCTATTCGAGTTAGCCTTACATCGAATAGTGTTCTTTCGATTCAAATAAGATTCGCTGAAGCAAACGCTCAAGGGAGACGTTATTTCCATTCAGTATAACTATATGACGCGTTTAAAATTTGGCGCCTATTTAATTAACCTGATTAGCGCCTCGATTTCATACACATGTTGCACATTTCAGCCCTTTAGCGCGGTGGCGAAATCGAAGGCCGGATAAAGACCGAGCGGTTCGGACACCTGCTTCTCACAGTGAGAGCCTGAATCACATATTGTTTACTGTGTAGTTGCCAGTAATATAACGTTCCAAAGAAAAGTCTATTCAGCGAAACAGTAGAATGAGCAAAACAGATCGAGTCGAATAATGCCAACTGGTTTATACAGATGATTTACAACACTACTATATTCAACAGCAGTGTTACTGTTTTGTGTACATAGTGCATATATGCCGGAACGTCATGCGGAAGCTACATCGTACCGAACATTTGATAAAAAAAAAAATAAAAGGGATCAGCTAGCTGCTTATTAAGCAGTCGTCCTACTATATGAAGCGAGGTTGTGGTTCACGCTGACCTTTATGAGCATGCAACCGATCGGCTATATGGGTCTGCACCTCTATGCTTATACTATATGATGTATACATTTTCGAAGTAGATGAGTCGGAGATTATAGCTGCACTTAGTCGTTTGGTTTCATTACAGAAAGGGTAAATTCGATGTATGCGTCTGGGTCGCTAAAAAAGAGGACTGGCCTATTTAACCTATTGGTGCCTCGGCTGGAATGTAAGATGGAGTAAAATTTTGTAGAATTTATAAGTTATATTTTTTTTTTTAGAAATTATTGGCTATTATAGCAGTCCAATTTCAAGTTGTTTCAAAGAAAACGTTCCGCGACGAGCTCGAATTGTGCATGAATAATTCTTTTGGCAAGATTTTTCTCGATACTAATTTGAGAAGATATATTTAGTCAAGCCAACACAACAGTGCCCGCCGGTAACAATGTTCTAACGGTCTAAATTAGGCCATGCTTACCTATTGCCCAGTGTCGTCTCGTATGGTAGGTTTCGTTTGTTCATTAATATTTTGGCCGCTATATAGTCCCTGTAAAAGGCTAGCTCAATGCTATCGGCGTCTACGTACCTTTGCGGCCTGCTAAATCGAAAGCAAATACATATCATACAATTGTCAATGCTTATGGTTACCTGGTCCCGTGACCGTTTAGATAGGCTACGCTAATTTATAACGTTTTGTTGTCTTGCGGAAAAAGGATTACGAAATCGGTAATATTTTACCGAATTCAAATCAGAGAAAAAAAATCGGATTTGTAGTTTTTCTTTTTTCCTTGACTTAGACAATAGGTCCATTTGAAGTGTTTATCGTCAGTACGGTTTCCGCACTTTTTTAACGAGGAAAACAAACTTAGAAACGCATTAAATCATTTAAAGTTCGTAATTTGAGCGCGCATACGTCCTTAAAAGGTACTTCCGTCACCAATGCGGCGGGAGGTACTATCGCTGAAGTTAGAAGGTAGTTAAGATCTGCTAACATTGCAATATACAAACGGTAAGTTGAGCAGGGTTCATACATGCGTATCAGTAAGGTGTAAAAAGTAGAAGCTAGCAATACCTGACAGTTTGTGGTGTGGAATCACTGTCTTAAAAGAAACTAATCGTCCGAGAGTACGTGGTTGTCCAGCGACTTCAGCGACCTAAACTGTGGAAATCATAGAAATTATCAACTACCGAGAGGGCTTAACGTCGTTACATTTATTTCCTAATACTTCGTATCAAACGCTTACAAATCTGAACAAATACCTCCCGTACGTCAATCCGCTGTTGCCAAATCTGGAATGGATGACATATAATCCGTTGTCTCTGAGAATAGCATATCTAACGCACAAAAATGACTGCAGTCGTTACGGTAGCCAATTGAAGCTTTTAAATAGCGCGCAGCTTCAGCCTATGACCAGTTTAGCTCAACAATGGCCGCTGGCTCCATTGCCCTGTCAGTATCTGCAAGGAGAACACTTGTTCAGTATGTATCTGCACCAGCGAAGACGCAACTTACATAGCCAGTAATTTTTACAGTTCAGGACAAAAGGACGCCTCTGAAACAGTAAACCTATTGCTATCTAAGGCCTGGAAAATGCTTTCGAGCAAAAACAGTTGAACACAGCGCAGGGTCCTGCCACGGAGAAGTGGTATATTTTGTTATCCTATAATAATCATTAGGCCGACTGCACGTGCTAAAATCTTACTTTGATTATTCTCTGCCAGTGCGATCACGGTCAAGATAATAATTTGGTTATTTCTTCGCTCCCGCCTAATCTGCTTGCAGTTTTCGATTTTATATGAACATGTCTATAGTTAACTTACGGACAGAAAGTTAAAAACGTTTGCTTGGGCTTCGTACGAACTGTGCCATGCTTGCCGCAGATAACAAGATTTTGATGCAATACTTTATGACTTATTGATGCAATAATACTATGAAACCTACTTTTCATGACTCAGTGGACGAGTATAATTCGTAAACGACATAAAAATCAAATGGGGACATATAATAAATGAGTGACAGAATCCTCCATTGTGAAAAAAACGCTCTTCTAGAGTAGAGCTAACGTCGACACTTTTTAAAGAGCTAAAACGGTTTCTGGACTCAGAAATTTCGACTATAACCACTGCCATAATATATATACATTTAAATACGCAATATCTATTGCATTGTTGCAGGCAGCATTCAACACGCAATGAGATAAATCTAGACATGGGAGCACGATCTGCGCTAGGATACGGTTATTGAACCATAGAATTACCTTGTCTAATTGCTCGAACAGTATTATTAGTTGGTTGTGAATTTTATCTTATGTACACTTGAACAGCGATCTTTTCAGTCCAGGCACGTGTTCTAGAGATAAGCGCAGCATAATCCCCTACGTTTTGCATATTACGTTTTTTTTATTTTGAGTTTGAGCGCTTTGAGTTTAACTTTATTCCGTCCAATATCTTTATTGCCCTAATCTCTAGCCAGACCTCCTAAGTGACCTCAAGACAAGTTACGGTCGCTGTGGACGTTGCTGTGGCAAAAAAACGAGTCACCACGTACCGCTGTCCCAGCGTGCGTCATCTTTATTGCGGCAACGGTGTGCAAGGCCTTAGAACGTAACGAATTACATTGACGAATACGCTTCCACCGTTCTATGCTTCAAGTGAATAAAAATCTAGAAAAAAAAAAAGAAAGCAAGGAACTCGTTTCGTTCTGAGGGACACGTCAAACATTTATCTGGTAACAGCGATGCCGATGGCAACAGAAGTAGGCAGTACGTTACTCGAACTGATGGATGTGGAAAAAACATAACAGAGCTCCTCCGAAAATGCTGAACGGCCTACTCTGGGGGAGAGGATATCTAGACTCGCTAGTTACTGTCCATGGTAGTTGCCATTGTTAGGGCCTGCCGTCACCTGCAGCTGCCGTCGCTGTATTTGAGGCGTCTGTTACTTCTGCTGGTGAAGTTCGTGCCGGCAAGAGAATCCACCCGTATACGATTCCGCGCTGTAATGGCAATTCAGTGCCCCGTTTGACTCACAACATTATTTTCGTTATTGTTCTATTTAAGCGAAAATTGGAAGCTTACTAGATGCGAGCATTTAAATATATATTGCTAAGATCATCATTGAGAGCTCAGTGATGAACGGTAATTCGGCAACTCAAAGTAATCATTATAGCAATGCTACATTACATTCAAGTTGGTACCTTACTGAGCGTGACACAGTTCCGTGTGAAGAAGGTGACCCCTGGAAGTTTTTCATTAGAGACGGCCTTTTCCAAGACTGATGCCGCCCCAACAGGCGTTTTTGCTTGCGGCGTTGTGCGGGCCAACTAAAGCAAATTTGAAAAAAGAAATCCATTAAAGAAATATGTTTAAGAGAAATCAGTGATAGATACATAAGGAGCTCACTTGTAATCAGATATACTTGCAAGCCGTCAGACATGTGAGTCATTGCAATTTTGATACTACGTAATAATTAGGTTGCATAAAAATCCAGACTTATAGAACGAACAGTGCCCAGATTTTTGTAAGCTAATACAAAGCACCGCACCCAAAGTTGAGCTATGTTGTGTTAGCTGCATCGGCCATTTTGCTGATGGGGGATGACGATTTTGCAGAGTGTTTCGCCATATCAATTACTGCACTTCGATTCTGCCCGTCGAATATGAGCGCGCAGAAACTACCTGTTTTTCTCTAATGTCTTCGATTTTATAATAACTTAATTTTATCACAAAAGTTCCTTGTATAACTTCCCTGACTATCAAAACATCCGAATGCATGGAGTGAATACTGGTGGCCGCAAATTTCAATGGAGTTGCTAATCAGAGCTCCCTGCGTTCTGTCCAGTCTTGCTCATGCATCTATCCCGTAAGTGTAGCAAACTTGGAGTTATCGAACTCTAGCAACAGACCACTAACACCCGAAGCAACTTAAACATGGAGATATTCAAGCGGCGTATGAGATCTGTGACTGCATCCGTTAAAGCTAAACTTTAGAGAATATAACTTCAATGCCGATCGGTCTCAATCCCCAAACGCCAGTATGACAATACGCTATGCGCATGGTTAACTCACAGTTTTTCGTTAATGTCGCGACCCATATACCCACGTTTGCAGGATAGTCGTATACTAATCCCACAAACTAATCATGGTGTAAGGATTCGTGTTTTATAAAGCTTTTTTTTTTTGCCATCATCCCACATACCTAGTCATATGGGAAAAATAATTGTAATCATGTTAATTTCGTACGTGCAATTTTTACGCTGTGTTGTATTTGCGCGTGCCTTTCTTCGTGCTATACATTTATATAATATTCTGTTTATCTATTCATGACGATTGTCATAGAAAGAGCAGAAAATCACAGCGGACAGAGATTAACTAACGTTTGCTGGCATATTGTTATGGGAACTGAATTGCCAACAGGGCCATTCTGCCGGTAACGAGAATCAGCTTACGGTAGATGGTGGCCGTTGGCCAATTCTCAAACGACATTGTTGTCTAAATCTAAGCAGAAGCACCAGAGAAGCGGACAGCAAATGATATCGAATGCTGCAATACAACGAATTGCCTATTCTATTCAGGATCGCACAACGAACCATCCGGTGTCCGTTTCACTCCAGGGCATGAGAGAACCAGCCGCAGGAAACCGTCACATTCACTTTTACCACTCACCACAGAAAACGCCAGTCCGATGGCCACTTACGACTTACCTAACAGATGAAACAGTCGGCACCGACGCTTGTGTTGACATAAAAGCGGAATAGACGCTTTTCCCTTGCGAATAGGATCCACGGCCTGAGCGACTGGTTGTATGCCTTTAAGTTTATATAAAGCAAATATAATCAAATTCACGTTATATCGTTTACCTATTTCGACAAAAGGCATACAAATAAATGGTACGGCTCAATAGCCAAAACGGTTAAGTAATCAGCGTTACGTGTTGCAATTAAATAAGGTAATTTACATTTACTGGCATTATATTCTAATTCATCGTATATAGCTATTAATATCTGACAAATCAGTACCAACCAAGATGGCGGATGCGTGACTGTTTTAGTTTAGCTATAAACGAACGTATTTTTAAGAAAAACCAAGCAGTTAGATGTACCTAAGTTCAGTGAAGGGTTAATGGTTATGGTCAGATAGACAAAACGTCATATCTAAATAAAGACTGACTAGAATTATGACGAAAGGTGTATGGACGCCTGCAAGAATGCACTGAACGGTACCATGTATCCTCTAGCTCATGAACAGTAATGATTCAGGTGTTAATCGGCCTTCGAAATCACAGTAATGATAATGTGTTAAGCAACAACCGATCGGTAGTAGCACGCGCACATATACATCTATCTGCTCCTAGATAAAGGTAGCGAGACAGAGAATAGAGGGTAACTTTGCTTCGTCTACTAACTAAGCTGTTAAGCTTTCAAAATCTACCACCGACCGAAAACGTATCACTAGATAAGGGTAATTCGATTAGTATGAAACAATAACACTGCAAATGTTATCTGTATAATTCGTAAGCTTCATCATCTAATGGTCAGTACTCTGCCATTGGTTACCCTACTATCCGGTGCGATGCGGATGAAGTACTTTTTCAGCCAGCTGATATCGCAGTTCGGCGGTTTTGTCCGATCCGTACTTTATTTTCCTACACTTACCCTATTTCATCATTCGTTCCACAGACACAAGAACCGTCGCTGGAATTGGTCGCTACCGAAAAAAAATTGTCGGTTCGTTGCAATTTAAATGATGCGAAGCTCGGTAGAGTCTAGTTGAGCTGTCCCCCCCCCCCCCCAAACGACGTCGATGTTGTAAAACGCATTTGTAATGCTGAATTTAGTGTTAGGGGTTTTGTCGCCTCGGTACCACGCGCACACACGGACATTCATCTATCGTTTGGGGGTCGGCGGCAATCTAGCGACATCCTCCCGACCGTTTAACGCCCAGCATTAGCTTGTCCACACTACTGCCACTGACCGGATTTATCCAATAGCCCCAATAGTTAATTATAAACTGTGCACCACCGGATCAAGTACGTGTCAATAGCAGTGGACTTTTTGTTACGGCGGCCAAAGTTAGTCAAGTCGATTCGTGAAGAACAGCCTCGACGTACCAGCTAGCTTAAGTGGCCTCTTCGCGCAACCATTAGATACATTGTCGTTCGATACATCTTCACGAAGCGACCCACTCTAGAAAAGTAAAAACGTGAAATACGCTTAAAATCTACAACGCTAGAACAGGGAAGTGCTGATTGGTGTAGAGCGGCTATGTTTGGTTAGATGAATTCAATAGCGTATCAAGAATAGGTTACGGAACTTCTTTACGGAACGAATCGTGTGCACTACCGCTAAATAACCATAAGAAAAAAAGAGGCTAAAGTGAAGTTGCGCCATATCTACTAACTGCACTCCAGTTGTGAGCTATGGTATCGGGAAAGAAATTCTGTCGCCGCAAGCTGCATACTCAGCGTTCCGTCATTGTTGTCATCATTGCTGCGGTAGTCACGTCGATATGGCTGTACGCTCGGGACGTTCAGTTAGAACAAGCTGATGGCCAGGGTATCGATGAGAGCTTTGATCAATACGTTGCACACCGCAAGCGGGATACAGCTCCAGTAGTACATCGAGGCCTGCTGGACATTTTTGGACTGAAGGTCCGTACTCCGAAAACCAATGCTTGGCAAACGTTAGAAACTCTTGCTAAAAATAACGAATTCGAAGATACGTTGCGTTCATCAGCGCACTTTGAACCCAATGGAAGGTTTCAGTTCACAAATCTTGAGCCTCTTGCAGGCCACATTTACCAAACTCTGAAGGACTACCAGAGATTTCTCACCAATAGCTTGCTGCATCTTCAACTGCTCGTTAAAAGATTTCCTTATATAGAGGAGAGAAGATTGATTGAAGATCGACTGATATCGTTAGCCAGTCATTCGAGAGAATACAATCGGATATTACGCAAAGAACTCAAAGACTTCATGGTACGCACTGGCCTAGCAAGGAAATCCCGCGAAGCACTCTATAAACTTAAGCTCAAAGTACAGACAGCAATTCAACAACGCCAAGCGTATCCCTGCAGCAGGACAGTGAAATGCAAGCTCACAAACCCGTATGGGTTCGCATCAGGAATCCACGATGTGTTATGGTGCCTTATAAAAGGATTCCAGGACAATAAACGTGTCGTTCTCGACACAAAAGACTGGCACTACCTAAACGCAAATTTTACTTGGAATGAAAGTTTTCGACCTCTTGATGAGTCGGATAGTAGCAAAGAAAATTGTTCCAATTTAGCCGATGACCCCACTATGCCGGGGCCAAACGGTCAAGCTCGTCTGTCTATCCATACCATTCCTGTTGATGTGGCTGAGACTCTTGTGCGTTATCACCAGGAGCCCTACGCGTGGTGGTTTGGGCAGTTTATCGGATACATCTTACGGCCATCGAGCCTCACGGAAGAACTAGTGCAACAGGCCAAACAGCTACTAGGCTTTAAATCACCAATAGTAGGCTTACAAATTCGACGAACAGACAAATTCTCCGAGGCAGCGTACCATGAGGTAGAAGAATATATGGAGCATGCCGAAGAATATTATAGGAGTCTCGGAGCTAACATACCAAAACGAGTATTTGTGGCTACAGATGAACCCCAGGTACTCGACGACCTCCGAGAAAATTTTCCTGATTTTGTGTTTATCTCAAATGTCAGATCGGCAGAACTTGCCAACGACCTTGACACGCGAGATTACCCTGCTTCGTTGCAAGGCCTAATTATCGATCTGTTTCTCTTAGCCCAAACGGATAAGCTAGTATGCACCCTTTCAAGTGGGGTGTGCCGTATTGCCTATGAACTCATGCAGGCCCGCCGCACTGATGCCACTGATCAGTTGGTATCGTTGGATGTGTCCTATTTCTACGCTTATGTAGCCGCCCCCCCAGTGAAGGCTATATACGAGCACGAGCCGGTCGATAAACGGGGGCTTTACTTATCCCCTGGCTATTGCGTTGCCAAAACATCGGATACCTCGATCGTGCAGGAGTCAGTAAAGAAACCAAACTATAATGGGTTTTCCGTTGGTATTCTTTGTGGATCTAACCTTTTGGCTGGAAACTATCCGACATATAAAACGCTGCCTACAGTAAGAGTGAATGGAACAAACACTGCTCTGTTTTAAGCGTGTTCGGTTACACGCTTTTCCCACTAGAAAGTAGAACCCCACTAGACTGTATAATAGATAGACATCCTGCAAACGCAAAAGTACTTGCTAATCCTTTTTCATCGAACCTGTTTTTCCATTCCAACTCAGAGTAAACTCAACTTTTATATATTTAAAGTAAAAAAACTTCGGTGACTCAAATATTTTTGCTTTTTTTCTTTTTTTTTTATTTAGGAGAATGAGATATTTTCGTTGCGTACATTCTTATACCTATGCATCAAGTTTCTGTAGATTTATTAGAACTATACAATATATAAACTAGCTTCTTTAAAGGGCCGATAATCGTTGTTGGTCCGATAACCGATTGGTTTATCACTATCTCGCACGTGTACTCTGCTCATCAACAGCACGACATAACATGGCAGTAAAGGCATCCTCAATATAATATTACATTATAATTAATACTGAATAGCAGTTATGTTGACAGTTTTTTTTTCTATATAATGATCAATATTATGTCTCAAAGCATAACATCAATGATTGCAGAAAGGTGTATTGTCACAGATGCTATACCAAATGTTCCCCGCTATATTATTATGGTCAATAGAAATAGGACAAGCTCGCTATTTTCATCCATAGAAGTAGACTGATCGGCCAAACGGATTCGATCGATTACCTTTGCGGATGTACGGGTGTATTACTTCGAAGTTGCATTGCACCAACGAGTTCTTCGACGAAACGAAAAAAGCTGTAGTAAATCGTGCCATCACTATGTTTTTCGTCATAAATAAGCAGGCTATTTTTCATTCGTCTCTATTGACGCACACATCTTATCGACTGAGTTAATTTCTATCTTTGAGGAACTTTGTGTGAAGTTCGTTATATCTGATACCATATTCTAAGGCGTTGTGGAAGGCTCATGTTTATCTATGGGATAGGGGACGTCTTAGAATACAGCTATCGGTTTACAATTTAATAAAACTTACAATTGACCTGTATGCTTTCTTTAGGAATAGGCTACTGTGGCCTGGCGCAGTCTGCGTTTGTCCTATCAGCTTCACGTCAATATACCTACAAAAGAATGATTTTGGCCGTAACAAAGCGAGCGAGCGAGCGATCAATCTCCTAGGTTTTAGGATTAGTAGCCTTCGTTCCTCATCTAATTAATATGATTCAATGCAACGAGTCGGCTGCCTACTTGCTTCTATTCGGCCGAAGGCTGCTGCTGTTCGATACTGTTACAATGACTACAATAAAGACCTGATATCATAATTCGTAATAGACATATTTCATCTCATGCTAGAAGCCAGCCATCTAAAGCACGCCGAAAATACGATACGTAAAGCTCGAAACATCTATTTTAAATGACAAATTAAATGATAATGGGTTTTTGAAAAAGCCTGTTTTATTTTGTTACCTTTAAAATTGTGTCGCATTTATTCCGACTGGCAATTTCTACAATCTGTAGCTTTTTTTTTTTGATGTTGACAAGTTATCCCATGTGATACATGCTATAGTGGTTAGAATCATCAGTGGTCACTTGTTACGTAAACACAACAGTGCTGAGACGCAGCTTGCCACTAAATGGCGGCATAAATCACCGACTAGAACGTTTCGTAATAACAGAAACAGGTCGTCACCTGTGGAAGCCAAGTCAGACACTGACTGCTCATAGCGTAACCTGTTCATATATCAGCTATCCGTCATCGCAGTGATACTTTGTATCGTGTTCAGGAATACCCGATTAATCGGGCCGGTTCTCGAATCTAAACGTATCGAGTACATAATCGACCATAGCAGGCCATTTGTCCACTGATAAATTAATACGTCGGAACTTTCAAAGTTCCCTGTTTTTATCTGCAATATATGAACACTGTTCTATAGGAGCTTTGTAACGCCCTGTTAAAACTTAAACATTGATTGTTGTGTTATACCAGCTAAATTCCGTGATTCTTTCGAGACTTTTTTTTCAAGGCATCATATCAAGGTTCTTAGTGGAAGCTTATTGAAATAGAATTGCGTCAACGTTCTGCATGTACATAAAAACTAACGAGATCATCATTTCTAGAGAAGCGCAATCGCCCGGTATATCTCGAAGGCTTCGTCTGCAGGTTTCAGCATGGACTTAACGCTAAATCCTTGAAGCTGGACAAATGCTCGACAATTACTTATTATCTGTGCGGAAGGAAATATTCATGTGGTGCTCCGTGAAAACCTTGGCCCTCTATTGGAAAATTTTCGCAAATAGTCTAATAAGTACATTTTAAATATCCGCCCAATCCAGTGGTCAAAGCCCCGTAAGAAACTCGTAGGCGTGCTTGGACTTCAGTATTTGAGAAGACCATATAAGCGGACCGGCACTACTTGCTGTTAGTACTATACATAGATGTTTTTTTCTTTATTTTGATCATATACACGAAATACAATATTAACTTCGGGGAAATCTACGGGATCCCAGATTTCTAAGTTGTTTTGAAGCTTGACACGCTGAGAAACGCAGGAACGCCATTAAAAAGTCGCTTTTAGAAGCTATGTAGATAGAGCTTGCTTATGTTCGCAGTGTATGCATCAACTTCACTCCAAGGCCGATTAAGGCAGACCGTATAAAATCGTAAGGTATCAGACATTTTCAATATTTGAGCAAGTTCTTATCACACAGCGGAAGGATCGTAGCAGAGCCCAAAGTGGCCTGAACAGAGAAATTTTATGATATATTTTCATGGAGAATTGTCATTGAACTTTACAATGCGCCACCTTTGCAAATTATAGCAGCTACCGAAATATAGTAGATCTATCAAAAATCAGCTTAACTTATTGCAGTAAATGCGATTTTAAGCTGAATTCTTCATGTCAATTCGCTCGGCAAACGTATGACTTCTTCGAGGATATTCCTATGAACCGGCCTATGTTAAGCCTAGAGATAATCGTGTACCATACGAAGGCGGTAATGATTGGATTGTAAATTTTTTCTGACACAGCGTCCTACATAATTATCTAATATATAAAACGGTACAGCTGCAACGTATACGAAGGGCATTCATCACATCATTTTTTTTTTGCACATTTCGTTCTATCTCATTCTAATGGTTGTCTGTTTCTCTTTCTCGTAGACATCCTATAAGATCGGCCAACTCATTACGCTACCGTAACGCCAATTTACTTTGTTGTGATTCCATAAGCCTGTTTCATCACACGCTTCACCATCATATGATTCATAGTCTGATGGTTGCCCTCAGTGATTTATGTGTTTTTTCTGTACTGCTCGAATTATTTATGCAAATTATGTTCCAATATTCATTGATTGCAAACTAATCAGTAAATATTTATGCCACATGGTGCAAAGCATTGGCCAATTAATTGTGTGAGTCTACATGTGAATTGTATCAAATCTGTATTGTTAATGGCATACTGGGGGCTTTTAGGCGTATCCACTTAGGTCAGCTTAAGTTCGACTTAAGTGTTTGCGAAATTATCCTTTACTCATACATAGCCCTGTATTCATTTGCCGGTTTCGGTAGAACGTCCCTGTTACGAACATTGTCTATAGGCAGATATTTACCCCTTGGTATGAGTCACATTGGAACAATGGCATTATTTTGCGTCACTTTCTGTTTGTTCGTGCTCTGTTGACTGTAGTCGCTTAGAAGCCGGTCGTTTGTCTGTTGAAAACGTGCTGCGTAATGTGTGGGGCCTTCTGCTTCATACCGACGTGAGGGTGACACGACGGGTGGGAAGTCGCTAGACCTTTCGTTGCCATGGGCCTTGTAGCATAACATCGGGCTTGTTTGCTTAGCAGGGAAATGATAGGCTGAAGTAAAGATTCGGTGTTGTAACAAAAATTATTAATAGCAAGTAGTGTGCTTTTCCACTAAGACGAAACACAGGTACATGTACGATATAATACGGTGGTGCTTTATAAATACGGGAACGTTAATAGCTTCTGCTCTGTTTAATAGAATACAATTTTAAACATAGTGCGGCAACTGGCCTATATTGAGCATCGTTACCTGAATAGTACGGGCCGTTGGACAATAACAAAGGTGAGTTTCACTTCTCCTTATCAACTTAAATAACAATAACAACCTTATTTACGAGTACACGGAGAGCGCATGCACTGCTCCAGAGGACTGGAACCGATGGTTCTATGCTTCAGAACTTCTGTCGGTACTCCACACAACGTATTAAACAACTTAAAGTTGCTTTTTGGATTTGACCTACGAGGACCAGTTGACTTTGCGACAGTCCGCCCTCCAAAAAACCATACTCTAGTCTTTGCAATTTTTCTGCAATAAAGTCGTTACTTGCATCGCTTTTTGCGGTACTTCAACAACTTCTTCTACTGAGAACTAACTTCTGTACTACCGCTAAGTTTAGAACGTGTGTCACTATGCTTCCTGACAAATTAAGCACTCTTTAAAGTTAGAATCGTTCTGTTCTGCGGATGAACTCTGCGAGTAGTATAGTCAGTCTCTAGTATCTGAATTTAGTTAAGGTGATCCGAAAGGAGGTCGTTTGCCCCCCGTACCTCCTAAAATTACAACACGGACATTTTGGAAAAAAACTGAGCTTCCTGCAAAAATATCACCCGCCTTTCATAATGTATCACTACTGCACATAAGAGCAAGCTGTTATTATGAAACTGCGGCTAATATATTTGCTTATTATATTACTATTATATTGCTTGTTTTTAATGCTATATTTAATAGCACCTGCATACAGAAAACATCTGCCAATGTTTTCTTTGGCTTGAATTTTTTTATGATAATAGTTTTTTTTTGTAAGAAACATACTATATAGATATATGCATATATATCACAGTAACGTACGGTATTTGATTCCATAAAAAGAGTGTAGCTAAATAAATACGAATAGCAGAAATTTGCCATCTTTGGAGAATAAGAAAACCTCGGCTACCCAATATCTAAAAGCTTTACTTTCTGTAGAACACTATTTACAAAGAATCTACATCATTTACTATATCTATAAGGATAACACGTGATTTTGAAAACATCGGTAGACTATGTTTTATCAACCGAAGCTTTAGAAAACGCAAAACAACTAGAAGTTTATAAAATTTAGAATAAGTAAAAGCAAAAGTTGTCGAATCAAGTGTATACATAATCAATATATTTTGTCTAATTACCATAAATGAAGTTCTAAAAATTATTTATTTTTAAAAAATTGTTTATTTTTATGTGACATGAATAATGGCACAGAGTGCTTACGCTTCTATTTTTCTAGGCAAAATATAGCAATCCGGCTGTAAGCAGATCCTGATCCAAACAACTGTTGACAGCTATCGGGAAACCCGGACCGGCTACTGGAAATACCAGTCTCAAACTAGGCCGCTCAAAATATAAAAAACAATGTTGTCTCAGCAAATATCTGGCTTCAGGCCTCATTCATTGTTTAGTAAGTATACGCAATATTATTAAGCAGATATTGTAATTCTTAAATAATAAAGCTTGAGCCCTAATTGACTGAATTTGAGTCAACTACTCAAGTGGACTCATTTAGATAGTTTTTAGATTTAAAAAATAGAAGCTGGCAAAGCTAGGTGCCACTATTTAGTTTCTCTGGTCTTAATAAATTTTAGATTTATCTGGGAGCGACGTGGTCTGGGTAGATAGTAGGCATTTTTTTGACTGTCCTGACTGGCTAACCGTGAGCATGCGCTGATCGTTGAACTTTAGCGTCAGTTAAATGGTTACGATTATGTATAGATACCGTGCTGCTTCATGGGTCTGCTGCAGGAAATCCCTAATGGCGTTAGTACTAGACGTCGAAGTGCTAGGTCCGTGAAGTAAAGCGTTCACTTAATATCATAATATTTTCATGTATAGCTTGCCAAAAATATCGCGCGGACAGCAAGGATGAATCCAGATTAATTATATTGATCGCATAAATGATCCTTTCAGAAAGCAGGATAAATGCCAGGTCACAGTCTGTCTCCCAAAACAGCTGCTTGAATTACGACTATGAAAGTTTTGTGCGTTTCACTAGGCGCTCTGACACTCTTAACCGCTATTGGTCCTGAAAGCGGAACCTCTAGCCAATTTCTACGAGCTGCCTCTCCTTATGTAGGTCCTCATGGCTATTCTATTTAATCTATATGTTTCAAAGAGTAGAGTAGAAGTGTTTTTTCATCTAGCCTCGTTATAGAAATCTGGGGACCTGTTTGGCTTTGCGAGACACAAGGAGTCGGCTATTGTAATGACAATTTTCCAACAGGCAGAGTCTCCACTACGGCCAACCGAAGTGTTAATTTTAGCGATGTCTAAATAAAAACACTTTAAAACATGAGCAGCAGAAATTTAACGATAGCGTTCGAGCGATGACGATAGCCTCTAATTGAGAAGACGCCTTTCAATATCGTTTCGCACCCGTACGACAATATAAATAAACACTTATTGTTGACTCAGAGAGAAGAGAAGGTGCCATAGCACAATATTATAGAACGACTGAGGACACCTGCCGTTAGGTCGATTCAGTAGGACGCCATTCGAGGAGGTGACGCGCGAAACCGTTTCTAATATATTTAGTATTGAAGTAGATAAAATCCTATGGCACTCGTTGTATAACACGCAGGTAGTTAGAAGACAAGCTCAGACCTATATTGTTACTATTGTGAGGAGCTTCAATCGGAGATGGAAGCTAAAGAGCACGATTTAGAACAACAAAAACAAACGCACAATATTAACCTATTATCGTATGTCAAAAAAGAGCTCACCGTCAAACTAATCACAAATGTATTAGGTATTTTACGCCCGGCCCGTTTACTGTTCGCGATAGTCGTTGCGGCGGTTATTCTCACGGCGGGTGCTAACGATAAAATCGGATCTAAGCCTACCGAAACTAGTAAGACGAAACTGCTACGGCCGCACATGGAAAAAATCCTTGAGCTAGTGAACGAAGCGTCAAACGGTGACGGAGACCCTTTACTGAACAGAAGAGACAAACGAGAAGCCGGCTGTAGAGGATATTTACAAGATGTAAGCTATCTTTTTAAGAGATTGTCGAACAGAGCTGCAAATGTCATTGCAAACATCAGTTACTAATTAGAGTTAATAGACGGTGGCTCCTGTACAATATATCTACCGTTACAACATTCCATAACGTCGAAGTTTCGTAGTCAACTAGGCAAATCGTTGAACTTACTTTTAATTTCGTTTACAGTGTAGCATCCAGATTGCTTACCCGTGCTGCACAGGCCTCTGTTGTGTAAGTAAGCGCTGTGAATGGTCTCCATCGCGAGAAGCCCGTGTGGAAAGCGCTCGCCAGCGTACCGATTCAATAGCGTACCCTTGGAATGGGCAGTACAAATACTCGATGAGATTTCAGCCTATTGTACCAGTTTTTCCAAAAATTTAGCTTGTGCCTTCCTCGTTAGTATTAGATTACTATTAGACAACTACTGAAGTAATCAGGGTCGTGTGTGGGCTCTGTTGTGCTTAATTTCAATCAGTCTATAAAATCTTGCATAAGCGACATCAATGACGGTTGTGGACAATCGATGTGCCGGTACGATTCAAACGATGTTTTTTTGTTATCGTAATCGTCATAAATTTGAACTTACGCGCCTAGACAGCTGCCTAATTGTGTTATTTACGTGTACCGTTATTTATACAATCTTTAGCGGCCGATACGAGTGACTCTCGCCTCATTAGACAAATTGGTTTCTTCGACGCCCTATACTACCAATGTAAACATCTAGGCCAGTACGGTGTCAATGTTGTCAAATGTTTTTGCTGCGAAAATAACAGTTAGGTTCGATACAAACAGCATAAAATAATGGTTCTAACAGTCTATACGAATATTCTAGCCCATTGCACATCCAGAAGTACCTAGACAAATAGTTCAAAATAAAAAAAAAATAGACAAACGAACGCCGTGTCCCAGTCTCGAAAATGAAAATCTCTAGATTGCGTATCTATTATTACGTACAGTTGTGGCATATTCCAGGAATGCCGAAATACGTTTCTTGCTACTAACGAACCTATCTGGTAGCCAGGTGAGTGGTCGTAACTATTAAGACCAGCGCGAAGCGGGTTAGATTTCGATCTGCTATTATAGCTATGACTCACTTTTATATGCTTTTTGCTGTTTTTCTTGCTAGCGTTGTCGACCCGCCTTGCCCACTTTTCACCGCCTTCTCGGCTTTCTTTCCAGCTCTATGTATATATACATATATCCTCTTGGAAGGCAGTATCCTTTTTATAGGGTCCTAAATTCTTACCATTCCGGAGCTTCTACGCGTGCTATGCGACCAAAATGGTTGAGCCTTTTTCGCTTCCATAGAGCCTACAGAAGAGTCACTTTTTTTAGATATTTAGATTATTATAGATTGAAATTTAAATGGCTATATAAAAATTAATTTTTTTCCTGATTATTATCTTTTAGAGTGATTTGCAATAACGCATATATCTCTGCTGTCTCATGTCATCTGCCACTCGCACTCGATACCCTTTGAGCAAATCTCATAGAACGGCATCCATATTTAATTTACTTCAGTGTGCAATATTCAATAACTACTGTTATCTGAACGTTTTGCTGTGACTATCTATTGTTGAACTTCTTTCTTCTTGAAAATAATTTATAAAAGACAATTATATGAAATCGTGTGTCTTCACCGTCACGATAGAAAACCCATAAATACCGATCGAATCTCTAGCAGCGTACGCAGAAGTTTGAAGCTCGCTTTCCTTTGTATAGCATATGCGGGTGTTATTGCATATGTTCTTGTTAGGTGCAGCGTCTGGAAGTCGCGTATTAATAAATTTCGCCAAGGCATGTCGAAAGGTAGCTTTCAAAACTCAAGGCCTAGTCAGGTCCTAGTACAAAAATTTCAACACTGCACCGTTCAGTGTAATGCAGTAGCAGTGTATTTGGCAATACGTTATTCCACACTGATACTAGTGGATCCTCAGCCATATGAACTTTTGTAGAATCTAACAATTTCTTATATATTACTTTCTGGTAAGAACTACTTGTTTTGATTAAACATAGCAGTTGGCAAGCTCGTCGTCCGTTACAGTCGGTTCTTATTTTTTTTTTTGCTAGGATACTCTGTTAAAGTCGTCGATTCGGTAGCAACATTTAGTAAAATGTAGACTGTAGCTTCTTCTACTTGTATATTCACTCTGTTTCATGTGTTATAGAGACCCGCTAAGGAGACCTTCAAACTAGAGAATCGGGCTTTGTCCTTCTCTACAAACTGGATTTTACGAACTACTTCTGCCCGTGTGCTGCGAGAGCTTGTCTGCGCCGACTCCCGAGAGTCGCAGAGCTAAGACGTGGCCAGAATGCGAAAGAACCGCAATATAATGTATTCTTTGTTGTGGGGCGTCGAGTCTTTTTGCGCACTTTGTATTATCCGGCTCTTCTAAATGAAACTCTGACGGCTTTGCCTGTACCCCGTGCTCTCGTTGTTTCACCGCATTGTTGAGGGCAAGCGGAAGCATTCGGTTTGCTCCCCCGCTAGCCGTACTAGCTTCCGTAGATAGACAAGGATCTGAGTACAATTTATGGAGAACTAGAGCCGGACCTGTGCTTCTCATTCTGGTATGTTTCGTCCTACTTCGTCCAGCTCTTGAGTTTGCTGATGAAACTCAAGAGCTGAACGAAATGAAGAAGGAACAAACTAAAGGGACGGCCGCAAAGATCAAATGTTCGTCCCATGGCGAATTCTCCCGCCCTAAGAGGCGAACAAGCAGAAACAGCTGATAGCCAAGAGATAGAAACAAGGGCCTAGGGGATACGGGCAACGAGATGCGGCTTTGTGCAGCTTAGGACGCTATGATAAGATGTGCCAGCAAGGAATCGTGTATTGTTCCAAGTAGCCGCTGTTCATTTGTGCTCGCCTATTGATTATCCGCTCTAGGCAGATAATAACAAAAATATCACAAATTAGAGGAAGAAAACATTTAATGTTCACTAGATAAAATACTCTCTAACTACAAATCGAGAAGAATAGCTGCTGTAATGTTTTAAAATTTGTTAAGGCATATTCTAAACCTAAGAAGGGTAGATAGAAATAGTAAACGCCAGACACCTCTACATATCCATATGGGTATGACTTGGCTATAACCGATTCCCGACGTAGCCAGAGAACCTGGTAAATAATGAAGATATTCCTTTGGCCTAAACTCCAATGTGTGCCTCATGTCGCCATTCGTTCGGCGGCAAGACCTACGGCACCTAATGGGACGAAATTTTGACACATACTATTTTCGGCGAAAGTTTTATGTAATTCCGACAGCTCTCAAGATGCACGTATAGATTTTTAGCGTGCTGGCAGTAAAGAAAAAATACGGAAAATAGCCGCATTAGAGTAGCATAAACAGTTGGATGTCGAGCTTGTCCACGCTGTTTTACAATTAGCCTGCAATACTCTATCGAACATTATTAGATTCATGTTGGGTCAGTCCTTCCTCCGTGGACACGTCGAGCGATAAGGGCCGCTCATTTTTTATACCTGATTCGCGGACTGGTCGATTTTTAGAAGTATCGAATGTACAACCAGACAAAAAATGGCAAACGCCCATATTGAGCCTTGCGACCCCATTTCAGTATGGGCAATTTTCGATCGAAATTTTGAAGTTAGTGTGTAATATTTAAGAATCTGTAAGTACAAGGGCCATGGTCGGAGAATCATCGCGTTCTCACTTCTAATGAGTGCGTAGACCTCAGTGTTCCGTTTGGCTCACTCTGATAGCTCAATGATATACACCGTATCATACATGCATTCAAATACAATGATCAAAAGTAGAAGTATGCCATATTAGAGCGTAAACTGTATTCTTTATTTGCCACACACACACATATGAAGGCTATATAAGAGTTTATGTCTTTTAATTGTTTATTAATATACTCTCTCTCAAAGTATACATATATATATGTATATATGCTTCTGTAATAATAATGAAAAATTACCAATCATGATGATTACCGATATATACATTATCTATTTGGGTCCTAATAGTAACGAGCAGGTGACAACTATCTTTATCTATCTTGTGATTGGTGATTAGCTAGCTTTATCATATGTCGTAGAAAGTTAATAATTGTATATGTATGTATAATAACTAAATGTTTGGTACTAAAGCCTGACGTCTGGCCCGTTTCTTTCTCGGTTCGACTGTAACGTAAAACAAATGAAAAATACATTTTTATTTATACCCGCCTCAATTGGGCGATTATCATTACTATTCGGAGTTATAAAGGGGTGAAACCGATGGGACGGAACGTTGAAAAACGGGGGACATAGCCTCTGGCGACGAGAACCCAGCTTCGAGCAAAAGCTTTTCCTTTTCTCTATTTATGGCAGTCATCGACGAGGTTCATTTTGCGTAACTTCATACTTGGCCCGATTCGTTTATACTATTGGCCCGAGGTTATTGCTCATTGAACATTTCCTTGAGTCACAATACACACTTATGTCGATTTTCTATATAATGATTTTTCTGCGTTGTGATTGATCTTAGCAAATCCACCTGAATTACGTCAGTTGAACCGCTAACTACCGCAACAGTTGGTGACCATATCACAGTAATGATAACGATTCTTTACTATAATCATTTAGGCTTACATAATAAAACTAGTGATAACATGAAGCTCCTAACGACCGGTATAACTTTCAATGATTTGTTTCCATCGCACCATTGCTCGTTGTACGGCTAAGTTAAACTTTAGTAATAATGGAATATGGGATCTTGATAATAATCTGCATATTTTACCTTCCACAGACGCACAAAAATCGAGTAAAATGTTAGCGTATGGTCCATAATACAGTTTTCTGTCATTTTCCATGTCTCATTAATAAGATTTTGCTCGCAAATGCTACACTCCTATGTGCGTCAAAACCCATTAAAAAACTAACCTGCTTAGCCTAAGGCAGCTAGGACTAGGACTAGAGAGACGACCTTCGTCAAATAGTATTGCCACCCCCCACGCTGAACGAAGGTTGACGCTGCTGTTTAGTAATAGCTTTGATAACATGTAGGAGGAAATCACTCTTCGAGAGCAATTTCCTCGACGCGTTGCTCGATCGAATGGGGACCGGCGCAAGGAAGCAAATGTGACTTTGCTTCGTTTCCAGTTGGGGCCCTCTGATAAATCTGGAACGGAATCAGACACGCGATCTCACCACGTCTGAAACATTTTTGTGCCAACAACCAGAACACAGAATGACCAAATACGTGATTATTATTAGCGTGATGAAAGTTATGATATCATACGCAGTGTACGCACGCTTTCAAAGCTCTTCGTTACTTCATATCTTACGTTATTGAATAGAGCTTTTTGGTGTGGCTATATATGCCCTGGACCTGTGTTACGTTTCTTCAATATATACATATATTGCCGACTAGTTCATAAAAAGCTATTTGCAAAATGCACGCCTTAGATATTTCCATGAAGTATTTGTTATAGACAAACATTAGCTTGATAGGCATCAGAAAGCATGTAGCCAACGTTTGGCGTAGGGCGAGATGACTATGGTGTTTTTCTAAAAGTAGCTTTTACAACCCTGAGGCCTCTAGAGGAAGCACCGTATAAACAACGACGGACCCGTATAAGAATGTTCTGAAGCCAAGAAAGATCATTGAGAAAGTTTATTTGTTTTCCGGAAGCCGTTACCCGTCAAAATACACATACGGATTAAAGGGACAAGGCTCCAAAGTTAGGTTGAAATAGAAAGTAGGACATTGCGATTTCAGAGGCGACGATTTGGAAAATCAATAAAACTATTCAAGAGGTAATTGTTTCGTGCTGGTTTACGAAGTAACCTGTTGAAAAAAGCTTGCCAACTGATTACCAGCTGATTGTATATCGATATAGCTCTATCTGCTGCCCGGCTGAAGCTGAAGAAGTCTGGAAAGAAGAAACTTGCTACTTATCTCGTATTTGTCAGCTAACGCAGCGAAGATCTTGGACGTGAAAATTTTTACAGAAAGAATTAAACCCTATCTACGGAACATTATTGCGCCACAGGTGGCGCACATCCGTTAGCGACTTGACGGGCTCGCTATCGGCTCACACATCGTGAATATAGTTCGCTAGCCTTTTCTAAATTACAAGCGAAAGCAGTACTCTTACACCCAACCTTGCTGCATGCGATGAGCAGCGTCTGCAAACGTTAGTATTTGTCTTTCTGCTAGTCGTAGACGTGAACAGACGGAGGAAGGAAGAGGACCCCAGGTTGGCAAGGGCAATTGGGGTTCGAGTTAAGAAGCCAGCAAGCCCTGACCGAAGCGCAACTAGCAGAACGCGTAGTGCAGGTCAGTAAACAGATGGTTAACTACATTAAGAGATTTAGTTAGTTCAGTTTACGTATCGACGACACGTTCATAGCTGCTATTATATTAAACTAGATAAAATGAAATTGGTGGCCACTTCAAGCTTCTTCAAATCTCGATGACAACGGGTTCGTACTATGAGTGCTTTAAGGCTTTGTCAAACGTCCGCCTTATCGTTTTGCGTGTTCCGGCTATGTTGATGATCTTTATGTGTGACGATGGCTAGCATTGTAATGTTACGACGCTAATAAAAACACACTTCTTTTCATTAACGCAACACAACTTTGCATTGCTTTCCAGCTATGATAAAATCGGACGTTAATTATAAAGAACAAAATCAGTTTCTGATACTTTTATCAGAAACTGATATAAACTAGATATAGATAAATAGAAAACGTGAGCTTCAAACGAACATAGAAAAAGGTAACAAAAGCACCGTAGCGAGCGCAGCTAACAGAAGCGACTAAATTCAGTTAAACTTTTACCAGAATCATCAAACACTATAATAAATAGGTAATTTCTAATAATAACACGCATTTATATATTGTATCTTCATCTTACAGAAGTTGACAATGAAGACGCCCAGTAGTTAGGTAGCATTACTATATTACTACAGGGCTGTTACTGCACGTGCGTGCCTGCTTCCTTCCTTCTGCCAGCTAAAAACGCAACTTATATCAATTGGCGTCGATATATAGTTTATAGAGATTGTCTGAAATTTTAAAAATAATTTTTAACCTATCAACAACCTACCAGCCAAAATGTTATACAATAACTTTACTAGCAAAATCAAAGATGAAACAGATAAACCATCATTTATAGGCTAGCAGCTTGCAGTCTTTAATATGAACTAAATTCAATATTTCCATAATGTATAGCTTCTGTTTCGGCGTTTAATAAATAAAGGATTTTTCTATACTTCTAGGTTGAAACTAAGTGCAAAATATTGCCCTTTGTAAAATTTAGAAAAGGTTTTCAACACACGATGTCTATGTGAAATCAATTTAAATTTTCCTTCTTCTTTTACATCGAGTTCGTAGCTGCATAGAAATTATGTTCGGTAGCATGATATTTATCCATATCATGCACCAATCATAGGGACACTCGGGAACGAACGCTTCCAACGAAGCGTCAAAACCACCTGATCATCAGATGAATTTCTCGCAACGCTGCATTGACGCTAGATGAACTGGCCGTCCTTCTTACGTGAGCGTCACCATGAACCCGACCATTCATTTTAGATCATAATTTGAGGTATAGGCGAAAGCATCATTTCTCTACCCTTGCACTAAACGATATGCACACGTTTGCAACAAGTTTATTATCACACTAATACTAAAAGTATCGATTGAGTCTGAACTTAAGGCACGTCAATCACTGGGGCAGCTCAATGTGACCGGGCAAAGCCACACTTTGCAGTGCTTACATTGATGCTTATTGCTGGGCACCACTCCAGCCCTAAAAGGAAGCCCGGCTTACTTTCATGCTCTCTAGGTAACTAAACAAATCTGTCACCCGCTCAATGGCAATGTTAAGCCTTTTTTTTTTGTAGGTTCGTTCTATGCACTGCATGCGATATATTTTCAAAGGGAAAAATCGGAACAGGGTTAGGCTAGAATATTACAGATAATACGATTTCTTGTTTTATACAAGTATGCTTGGGTCAATGTTTCTTGCAGTTGGGCGTCTCAGCACAGACACAGACGTATTACGGTTATCGGTATAGTGAGGCATGCCCCGCAACGGCACCAATGTATTGGTCCGATCGCAAGCGAACCCCTTCGAGCAACTCGCATGTGGAGCCGTCGTCTCCACGATCGTTCAACAACATTTAATTAACGTATGTGCAATAACGTTACGCATCTGCGCATACTTCTTCTGCAAATGAGGGAGGTCCCAGGAACAAAAGCCAGTTTTCTACAAAGGCAAGTTCAATATCGTTTGCCTATCCGATTCGTCAGCCTTGTCCTGATGGTGTCTTGGCGTTAGCGGTCACTATCCGCGATCTCGTACAAGTAACGCCCATATCTCCGGCAGTTAGAGAACTAACGATAAAAAGCTGATGGCAGTTCTGGGTACACCGCAAATTACAATAATCTTTTTCACTGTAAAAAATAGACTTTTTATATTGTCGCCATCGGCACAGTGGCGACAGATAAATATCAAAGGTTCGAGTGTCTCAATCAGCTATTGACAGACCGTTCGACAGGAGAGTTGCGCCGTTGCAAACGCCGATAATCGGCCCACTGTTCAAACATACCTCGTTGTTTTTGTCGAACTGTGTTATGTTGTTTGCCAGCGGCGAACATGTCCAGGTTACGAAGCGGAGCGTAGCAGTACGTTAAATATCCTTGGCCTACGAAAGGACGGACGGCTTCGTCCTACTTATTGGATGAATGTGATTCTAGACGTAAAGCGTACTAAGGCAGCAGCTATGTTATACCACCGTGACACTACCTGGGTGCGTCTGCATATGGAACATATACATGCGACTAATGCTATTGAAAATAGAAACATGTTGTTTCTGTCACAGGATCTTGACAGTGTGCCCAGTCGGGATGTATAAACGTAAATGATTTTAGCTCGGATCATCCGTGTTGACATTCGGACTCGCGATACCGTTTCTCCGATACTGACCAGGAACAGCTGAAAATAAAAAAAATTTCAAAATTCCCGGGGAGGACAGCACAACCCTACAGATGGTGCTTTCCGTTGCTGCTAAGTTACCCTTGGATATTTTATGGTGGTAAATTGATTCTTTCGTCATATTAATGCGAGGAAAATTAGATGTGAAATGACTGAACCATGAATCCCATTAGTAACTGTGCAACTTATATTTTTCCCTTCTTTTGTTTCCCGCTCATTAGTGAAGAAAAGGCGGAACTCTCTGCCAAGACACGATGGTTCGTTCAGAAGGTTATTAGTCGCCAAAAACTAAGGCCAGTATAGAACAGAATCGTTGTCTCCAATTACTTCCCTTTAGCCTATGCACTTAGCGGGTAAAGGGCCTATAAGCATGCCGCCTTCCGTAATCGGCGTCAGTCTTCTCCTAAGGATCATATTTTGAATCCACGTTGTCCATGTCCGTACGTTTTTTCTTCTGCGTAGTGGTCCTCGCTCTTCGGTGTACCCTTGCACCTACGCCGACTACTCGCTTGGTGCGCTTAACTTACGGCATCGTGTGCTTCAGATGACGCACCCAGTGTGTATTAATTGCCTTTTCATATGACAAAACATACTTTGGAGTCGACAGCGAATAATGAATAGAATTGTACAACAACACACAATACCAAACTGGTCTCAAAATGAAAGGTGGGAATAGTAGGAAGACCTGACGACAAGCAGAAACCGGCTCACATGCAACTACCGTAAGCCATAAGCGCTAAGGCATCAGCCAAATGAGGATGAAGTGACGACTAAAGGTCCGAGCGAAACAGGCCCGCAACGCAAACTCTCAAGCATTGCTTTGGGTAAAGGCTTGCTGTATAGTAATATACACACACACATATGCGTGTGATAGTCTGTGGCGGTACACCCAAAAAGAGCCAGATGCTTAGGAAGTATTTGTGATAGTAACAATAAAAAAAAACTGGCAGATGTCAAAAACAGAAGCGCAATGAAAACATTGCATAACTATGAGCATATAGCAAGCGCAGTTGGGTAGATAGATAGCATTCGTGCTCGAACCTAGTGCCCATCGTTTAATGAAGCGATTTAACAGTAGCAATACGGACAAGTTTTATCTATTGGGAACAGAGAACTGGCCTGAAGACAAGCACGTATCTGCCCTAGGTACGCGTACGAGTTTATTACAAAAACGGTCCTAACTAGGTGTTGTACTCATCTGAGTAGCCTTCTAACGCTGTTTTTCTTTTCGACAAAATCCGAAAACCACTGACGACAGCTTTATACGATATACATTGACAATTTTCTAGACGGTGACCGATTGGTTGAAGAATACCTTTTTTCTAGCACTAATTCCCGTATATGTTTCGTAAATTCAGCGGACAATAGAATCTACAGGTGAGTAATATTAAAGGGAATAATCATCGTCATCATCCCTTGTTGTCTGAAGAGATCAAATAAGTGATTCGTAACACAGCAGTCTTCTGGCTGTGTTCATTTCGTAAAACTAAATAATAAGATTAACACCAATTCAATTCTCGAGTTCTTAACATTAATCTTAATTAACCTAATCCTAATTAGTTAAGAGTAATTAACATTAATTAATAATTTGTACTGCAATTGCTATTCGTCAATTGTTCAGCAGTCGGAGGAGTGCACACCAGCGATCGCTGTGGTACATCAAAGCGGCAAAAGGTAGGCAAAAGGGAAGTAAATGTTCCTAGGGAGCAAACAGTAGGCCGTTGATTGTGATGAACAAGTCACTGAAGCTAATAATTGAATAGGTAGCTACCAGCCCTGCTATAGATCAACTTTTACACGACTTTTTCCCTTTGCGTCTCCAATTGTTGTCAGCATTCAATGGTGACTGCGACTCGACGGCCAACAAAGCTCCCAAACGTAGCCTTCAAAGCAGCCTCCTCAGCAAATACAATAGATTCTGTGGACGGACAACTTATATGGGAAAGCCTTTTTCGTTCAGAGCTTTCGGCCCGACCATACAACGGATGGAGTGAGGTGCAGATATTCACGAGCTCTGCTTAACTACAACCCTGAAGAACATTGTGACTCCTAACCACAGCCAGCGGTGGTTATTATCGTAATCTAGACGCGGTCATCTATAGGCCGTCCGGTTGTGAAAATGTGGCAGCACGTTGATTAAAGAAATGTTGTTTTAGGATTTGCTAGCGTAGGCGACGTTCCATCCCGCGTCGGTATGACGATATTTCTGTGATGTCAATGAGTCTAGGTGGTGGTGTGGTGCGTGGCATCGTTACGCAGGGTCGCCCGACAATATACCGCCCCTGACGAACCAAAACACTCTCGGATCTTGATACCGAACCTGATGGTAGCTAAAATAGCGTCGCATCACTAACAAAATACGAGGCTCACAGCTCAACGAACAGGATCGAACGCAGAACGAACCACTCTATTATTGCCAGTTTTGCTCTGCTATGTGAGCAGGAACTTACAGGTTTGAACTTGTGCTGTTCTCCACGGCCAATTCAATCGGTTTCAAGTATAAATTACGCTAAGAATAAGCCTCATTTGTCAAAGAGTCAATACCATTCGAAGAAATTCGGGGTTAGACGGAAGGTGTAAAAGGTAAACACACAATGAGACTAGAACAGGAAAAACATTTGTATTCAATGTTGCTTCTCGTCCACCATTGTATCGTCTAACATCACTTTTAGGCTTCCGATCAGGTGGCGCATTATCTACGTACCGCTAGGAATTGACTAGCCAAAAGGCCGGTCTGCCTTAGACAACCTGAGCGTCGCGTTCGAGCAGATCGCCAGCTGCTCCCCTGCTGCCCCCCTAACATAGCCTTTCCCATATCCCATGATGCCTATCATACAACAAACATTTAGCGTGTGATATGGACTACTTATCAGTCAGCGTAGCAACTGCTGTCTATCTTAGTAGTCACACACACACACATTCGTTCGTTGTTCCTATATACATTGTAGGTATAGCTATTCGAAATAGAACAGTTGAATCCTCAAGAAAATTTCGTTAATTTCGTAGTTCCATAACCGAAAACGCACCTCTAAGTGTACGCTAAGTAAGGGGCATTTGTGCAATTAAAGCAAAGAAATGAGAAAGTAGTATTGTGGTTTTGGCATATCTTAACGTTATTCGCGGTGCACTGAAAACGGTGTTTTTGACGGAAACCGCTTCTAGTGTTCTGCGAATGCTTAACTTCCCAAGCAAATTCTATCCGTTTGGCGTAAATATAATAACTACTTAGCTGATTATAGGTTTGATATAAGATAAGAGGTTAGTTTCTTTAATATGTAGAGGTGTATTCAGACGAAGTTTGTACCGACATCTGATTATAGCAACCTAAACTAGTACAAAAAGATTTCGTATATGATACAATAGTAGATATCAAAAAAAACAGCGCTGCGTGTTCCCGCTGATTGAACACTGTTTGTTATATACTCAAGCTCGTATTGTTGCTGGTGATGTTGAGGACATATGGGCTTCGCTACCAATCACCAAATTCAAAGGCAAAATACAAGAATCATACATATATATATGTATATATCGACGGCGTTGGCTATCGAAGGCACAAATTTACCCACAGCCAAATAATAAAGTTATAATACAAAGTTTGTTATAAGATTGTAATGTCGATTAGTATTGTACGCAACGTTAACAGAGTGGACAGCCAAGGGTTTGGACCAGATAAACTTGAACTTCTGATCTGAGCTAAAGCAATTCGCTCAGCTCTGGAGAATCTTTCTCGAGGCCACACACATAGTGGCTGAACGCTACAAACATTTTTTCAGACAACAACAACAACAACAACAACAACAGCAGGAGGATGATGAAGCTAGCCGAGTCATAATTTTTTTTGAAGCAAACCAGAGAATAATCGTAGCATCGCATGATCAATCAAATGAAAGTCGGGCCATCAGCGAGCCCATGAAAAAATAAGAGGTGAAATGTGCGGGGCCATACGCTGGATGAGGTCACGATTTACCTGATATAAGAATTGGCCATGGTAAATTGCTACGCATTTATCTCAAGTGCATGTAAAAGGAATATCTATGTATCAATAATTGTTATAACAACATCAATTAGTAGTGCACGTACGGTAATTAAAACAGCTCGCCGATATATGTTTCATTCAACGGACTTGGGCGCATCACGGCGCTCAAGCGTGTTTTTGCAACATATCGAAAATTATATTCTGCGAACCTTTCTGCCGGCGTTGAGGGCGCCTTGGTCGGCGACGAGACAGGCGAATTCGCCCCACCTCCTGGTGCGTTTCCCGGTAGACAAGATGTTGAGCTCACCGCTTTATCATCGACTAAGCCCTTGACGCCGTTACACATCCACGATCGAAACCTGTAGATCGCGGAAATATTCGAAAACTGTGTCACTGCCTTTTCCGTAGCTTAGCTGTCGCATAACGTAGAGAAAAAACGTCATGAAACAAGTCGTCACTAGAAAGGTAAATTACCAACATAAATTTTATTCAATACCTCCTACCTATTTACGATAACTTGTTTTTTGTGTAAATAATAGCTTTTTATTGGAAAATACTGAATAAATGTATCTGGTGCATCTGGAGGGCATACATCTGTACGCAATAAGGTAGTAGTACGTTTTTTGGTTCTTGTAGGACGATCGAAAATGACGTTGAAGATAACATTATTGTGAATGCAATAGTAGAATTTAGGAATTAGGTTAGAAACCATATCAGGACTGAGTCTAATGCCAGCCAAACAGCTAAAATTGCTTACCCGGATAATGAGCTGAGTGCTGCAAGACAAAGCTTAACTTTAACCTCGTAATCGACAATGATTCCGAAGTATCGACCCTCTCGAGCAATTTCCTCCGACACTCTGTCGTCAGATTCGCGACGACAACGTCAATACGTAGAAAATGCGCACAGATAAATAGAAAGAACTTTCTTTAGTCACCATCGATAACTGAAAAACTCTACTATGTAATACTATATTTAAGGAAGTATCATCTAAGAAAATAACGAATACACCTTTACTAATAATCATGATGACACACGGTAGCTTGTATTGGAACTAGATCAACTTTAAACACTTAAAATGCTCTTTTCATTGTTCTTACATATACTGAAAGATATCGTTTCTCGCATGCGAGTGGCGTAGTATGCACGATCTTAGCGCTTCTTACGCGATCTTGAGCATTTGCTGTTACGTCACCAATGAGGCTACGAAAAATTAAGGTTCAGACAGGAGGTTGTTGATAAGAGACTCAGGTCCTCTCTGATATGTTTCCATTCGCTTTTGAATAAGAGCTATCTATCAGCCTAGCATGATATGACAATATATAGGGGCGGGCGCATTGTAGAAGGCACACGCAATAAGAACCTGAACCGAATTATCTACATTCAAATACGTGTGGCGATGGTATACGACCGAGTAGCGAATCGGCATCGGAGTAACCGCTAGCTCGAGAAGCAGAAATTAACACAGCCTGAATTATCTTCTGTCTAGAAAAGTTATCTCTCTCTTTCAAAGTGAAAGGTCTGCGCTTTAGGGCCTATAGGCGCTTTTCGAGTTATCCTTCTTTTCTTCTACTTGGAGTAAATTGAATAATCGTTCAGTGTCTCCCCACTAAAGTCCGGCCATAGCTGTCCGGCCGACAGCGCCATCTGCAGACGAAATCTGTGATCTAAAATTTTGGACCAATCAATAAAACCCACAAAATCTCAGAAGTGAGCAACCCGTCTCTTACCAACATGGCCTTAAAATTCATTCGTCTCATACTAAAATCAGATTAACCAGATCTATAGGTACAGTAATATTTATTTACTGTCAGAGACTGATTAAATTTTGTCAAAGTGTGTAGAGATCGACGTTGCAAGGAATAATGATGAATGCATTAGATAAACACATACACATTAACATATTGAATAGCTTGACATCTTAATACTCTTAAAAATAAACATAGCATGTAACCAATAGCATTCATTTGTTTGCTATAAGCGAGTGTCCTGCGTGCGCTTATTAAGCATCTCCAGGCGTCTTGATAACCAAAATACAATGGAGCTGAAAGAACAAAAACCAGTTGGCAATTTTGCATGGGGTTGATATAGATATACACAACCCAGGCGACCCAATGAGCTGATTAACTTTGAACGCACGTGAAGTTCTTCAGATTTACGAAGATCGCGTAAGTATTTGGTGCCAGTTAACAAATAATGGCTAACCACGATAGCCATAGGAAACGTAAAGCAACTGGAAGCTTTTAAACAAGTTAGAGGTCAGAGGAAGTGGCCGTCAAATGACCCAGTCCGTAACTTGTTGTGTTCGACTATAGACTTTTCTTTGATATACCCCATTTGATATTAGCATATCTCACTCATTGTGCTTTTGTCCATTTTCTGGATGACACTCGACCCTCTGTCTATACTCTGGAGAGGTGAAATAATTATGAATACCCCCCCCCCCCTAGCCAGTAGATCAGGATCAGGAGATACTGCTAAACTAAACATCACAGCAATTCGAACAAGCGGTTATCCTGAACATGGAGCGGCAATCACAGCTCCAGAAGATCCTCGAATTTGCGATGCAAGCCATTAATCCAAATAGGTTACAACAAAATGATTTTGCAGTAATCGAAATGTTTTTATACTTATTTTTCGCTAACATCATACATGTTATTAGGGAAACACGTATTTGTTTTATACCCATCTAATAATCAGTTTCTTTGATCATAAGCACAGATAGCTTGTAAATAAATAAAAAAACACTGTTAGCAATGATGCATTTTATCACCTAATATTATATTTGTCTTAATAATTTTATCGAGATTAAATACGTACAGAGCGTAAAATACGCTCGAGCTACTGAACGTTGTAGGAACATTTGAGTCACGGCTTATCATGGAACATGGAAACCACTATTTTTGGTCGCGTGCCAGCAGTCGAGGCTTATGGTCTGAACAGTTGTAGAGCGTGATGAGCGTACCCGCTTTGATAGGTCAATTTTCAATTCGAAGTATTACCGTATCAATGACTTCGCTCGGTCCGCATAATTCGTCGATACGCGTCCTTTAAATACATTAAAACAAAAAGGTTTACTTCAACGAAGCACGAAGTGTCCAGTGAAAAATGCATTGGACCACCTTTATCCAGGCGCAATTTATACATGCATTCTGATTAAGCCTGTCGGGAACCGACATCGTTTGGACCAAACAATATAGTCCATACAACAGAAGAGTACGCTTTATCCCGGTGCGTACAACCTTCAAATCTTATCAGCGAGGAACAGTATTTGGGACACGAAGCAATCGCTTGCTTTTCCGGAAGGGTTCCGGTATTTTTGAGCGCTATATTTGGCAATCGATATAAACCTCGAATAGCCTATAGGATGACAATGTTCAGACGGATAACGATTGGGATAGAACTGGTCCGTGTTTGCCCCAGTCGTTTTATATCCGCCAGATTTCTTCAATAGAAAGTTATCGCAGCACATTCGAGTAAAGAGAGATTATTACATATCGTTCGGTAAGCGTCTTCGATGTCAGGGATTCAGAAGGAGCAATTATGTAGATTCTTTGCCTCTAGACAATGGTTTTACAGCTATTTTTTCTTTTGGAACTCCAAAAACGTTCAGTGCAATAAAGTGAGTAACGTTTGTCACAGCATAGTAGAAGACATTACTGCTGGCTTTAGGCAGGGCTCAGAAAACAGCCCTATTAGCGGTACAGCGCAATGCTCATATTGTAAGTACAACAATGCCAATTTTCTCCTACAACATTTACTAAATTGTGTATTCAAATGAACGCATCAATATGCTAAGCAGCAATAGTAAACGGCGTTTACCCGCTGGTTCACATTTAGAGTGCGGCAGATTAAACCATAGTGGTGACTGCGAACCTTTCTGCGTATAAGGCCTATGATAGCTTCTTTTTTTCGTGAACCTACTTGTAGGATAACTTTATCAACCTAAGACTATGTCTGTTCCCTTTATAGGGTACATCCAATAACTCGACATGAAGGTATCTTCGTGTGTTGGCGCGGGTACGTACCATACCCTTTATAGTTCGTTGCGATTTTAGAGAAATGCGGCTCTTAGTTATAGAATACCTGCCCCATAAGCTCGAGTTCAGGTCTGATGATTCCAAATTGTGTGAATATATTGACAAAATGAATTTTGTGATTTGACGTTCGTTTTGCGTAGAGTTTGAAGCAGTGAAGCCTAGCTCGATGCTGTGTTATCAGTAGCTCGCTATTCAATGTCAATCAACGTTCTCAACGTTCCAAGCAAGATCGGCTTGCTAAGTCCGGACATACATTATACGGATATAACTTCATCAGCACTCCCACTATTGCCTGATACAATAATAAAAAATGATAATAAACAATTTTTAATCGAGTTCCTGCACTTTCTAGTAGTATTGGATGCTGTAAAAGATACCACTGAAATTGAGATTATTGAGTAAAACGATTTTTGGCTAATTAGATAACCATTTAGGCAGCGGTAACTTTTTCACACTATCAGCTCACAGCAGGTCCTCAGTTCTTTCTTCCTTTCTAAGTGTCGATTATGCCAGAAATTTCTAGCGGTAACCATTTTTGAGGGGCTGAGATTATATCTCCGATAATGCTTGACCTTAACATATGAAGTTACTGGTTGCATGTATATAACATTACTTTTGTCCAGCGAATGACATCGGCATCTGCGCTGCTCAAGAAGTTTCGTATTGATAACCGTCACAAACAAAGTCACAGAAAAGCTATTACCCAAACCGAAACCATGCACGTATCGTAAAGTGCTCAGTGAGAGCTTCGGGTATCAGTTGTCACCTATCAGTTATACTATAATAGTTATTTTAAGGTAAGTGCGTGTTTCGTTCAAAAATACCTCTACGACAGAACAAGCTCTATTCGACACCTAAAGATTCTTGCACACTAATTTCTCAAAAAGCCCCTTGTACCTATTTCGATGTACAGGGTGTGGGGGATTTTGTCGTTTCCGTAATAGCAGGTTCAACGAATTTCATTCAACAGAGTATATGCGTCGCTGGATTTGTTCCACGATAGCTGTTGCTCGTAAATTAGTAGCATGCAGTGAGGCTGCGAAACTATAGGAGTCCCGCAAAAAGGCTATGGGGTCATGAATTGTTTTTGATTGGGAATGGGCGCATGTATATATATACGCGTGAGAGCTCTTGCATCCTTTCGTTGTAAGCACTGGACTAATAATAGAGACATCCATGGTAAATCTATGGAAAAATTGTCTTTGACCTATGCGCATGTCTCTGGGACTTGTGAGAGGTGAGAAATTACGATAATTGCTTTGAAGTAAAAACTGTCTTAGGTCTGCCGGAAACGATGAAGATTGCCTAAAAACTTTAATATGTTTCAAGTATGATAAAACGGTGCAATGATAGAATACATAAGGGTTTTTAATTTATTTTCGGTATAACGTACATTGTCGAAGATGCAAGACATGGAGGTTGCGCTTGGTCATCTTCACGACCCTGGATGAAGACTCCATACTTGTTTTTGTTGTCGCCAGCCTTTGGCAGAAGTATCACTTCCTTCTCCGCACACTGACCCGTGCTCACATGGCAATCCGATCTGGAATGAAACGCTACATTTGGGCTTATTCCACATACACAGTTATTCTCTCGATTCGCTCAAGTCAGCTAGCAAAGGTAACAAAATAGAAATGTCTGCTTTATTAAAAAAAAAAAACAAAGAATAGTAAGATACGTCGGACATGGCTTCTTTCTCGCGTATCGCGGACGGTACTCAGAATGAGAGAACAATTTACGATATCAGTACTCGTTACTTCAGGTAACTAGATTGGAAAGCTGATCTTCAGACGGTTTTGTTAAACTGTGAGGAAGCGATTCCAAATAAAACTACGAGATATCCCCGTATCAATGCTGAATTATAGTTATTAGAGAAGCTAGAGACGATGGTTCGATTTTGAAAAACGCTATGCCGTTGAGAAACATCTTTAATTCTTTACCCTGCACATAGTTAAGTTAAATCATGCGTCTATGGTAAACGTAAGATTAAAGAATAATTGAATACCAAACATTTTACTGCTTTTCTTGAAGTGATGATAGCCGGAGCGCGAAGATTCTCAGGGTCTTAGTACAGATTTTAATCTCACCCGCCTATATTTTGGTAGATAACGTCTAACGTTTGAAGAGTGCCTAAACTTTATGTCAGGATTACGTCTAGTACAAGACGTAGACGTGAACCCTGAGGATTTTCAGACCGACTGGTGGCCAAAACCGCTCCTTTTTTATAGATTGAACAGGTTGCGCTTAGCAGCACATTGTAGAATCTAGTATAGTATACTACACCTTGCAGCACATTGAATACGCAATCGGTGATTATTAACCTTTGAGAAGACGGATACGCCGTGATCCTGAGGAACATGCAAAAAAGGTTGGCATCAAACGGCATTTATCTCTTCAATTTTTAGTTGACAACGTTAAACCTAAGTATCTTGCTTGACCTCTATTGCCTGATAAATCAGTCATTCTTAACGAAACTTCCCCGAGTTTCGTCTTTCTAGACCTATACTAAAAAGCAATTGGATTTATTTGCTTGTGATCAGAGAATTAAGCAGCGATTTTCAGCTTGTGGTGTAACTTAGACTGTACAATTATCTTACCACATATCGATACGTTAAATATTTACTAGTGAAGTGCAGGTGAACTTTTTTAGTAATCATTTGCCTTCAGTTCTGCTCATTGTCTTTTTTGCATGTTTTATCTCATGTCCAGAGTACTAACGACGACAGGAAACGCGGCAGCATAACATCCATGGTAAAAACGGATGCAAAGATGATTCGTTTTCTACAGGATAGATGTGGGCAGCATGTACATGCACTGAAGCGCTACGACTCACAATAACAACAACGAGTGCAGCACTTGTCCAGCGGATGATGCTTCGTAGTCTGCCGAGGACAGAGAGACAGCATTGTTCCTTCATTGATAGCATACAGCATTCTTCCTGTGATAACAAAGCCTCAACAACTATCCACTGCATAGGCATGAAGGAAACGCGCTATCGTTTCTTAAATGTGTCGATTCCGCAACATCTTCATCTAGGCCAGCCCTCGTATGGTGGGCTCATCGAGGTCGCCAATCACTGCGTTGTTGATCTGCGACATCCGACGGCCAATAACTGCTGTGGCCACTTACGACAACAAAGTCGTGATGATGGGTCGAGTCCTATCGCGCGTCCTTCCCAACTCATCTGTTCCTCTAGTAACGAGTATGATGACGAGGACAACGACGATAAAAATAACAGGCCAAGCAATTGCATTCCGTCAAGTACGTTCCTAGTCATTAGTAGCTGCGGCAACCATATAGTTATAATAATAACATTGTGACTACGCGATAGAAAAACAGCGACGCAAGAAACCGATAACAAGTATATGACAAACGATGATTTGTACAATTTACTAGTACTTGTACGTTGCATAAGATATCAATAGAATACGGAACGACACTTAGTGAAGACTGTCGAGAGCAGGTCGCAAGCGTAGGCAATTGTTACACCGTGCGATGACGACCAGGTCGTAAAAAATGGCACAGTAACAGAAAACACCAATATGTCGCGCAAATACAGGTAAGCCCATGAACAGATAGACAGGCCGTCCGCGTACAGCATAATTTCAACCGGATCTTTTCGACCTTCTTGTTCTACAAAAAGGGTCCAATAGAAGAGGGTACAAAACTTGTCTCCTTGAGCAAGGCCCGTCGTTTGGGAGAAAAAGACAGTTTTGCTCAAAGCTCGAGGACATCCACACATTCGACGGTCCTCAAAAACTACTAGTTCTACAACAGCGGGCTATAGAAGTCAGCTACGAAGGAACGTTTGTTTAACCTATGGTGAATGGCATTTCAAAGAGAGCCGCATAGAGCTCGTCAAGGCGACGCACACAGGCAAACGACGTTCAGCTGCCATCCGCTTACTCACCGGCTACATTTTATACGCTTAGGGAAGATTTATATGCTCCCAGATTCCTTTGTGCTCTTTCATAATCTCCATGTCCGACGAATATACTGTAGCACTTAACACAGAGAAGTAGTCAAAGGGAATCACCGTGCCTGTTCCGATCTACGACCCGATGCAGCTGTTCTTTGCGATAATCGCAGAAAGAAATAGGAAAACAATGGACAAATTGTAGAGACAAGAATCGTTAAGACGCTATTTTGTGACCAATTCGACACTTGGAAGATATAAGGCGGCATCATATTTTCTTCGGCAGAATTAAGACCACGCAAAACATATACGTACATCTGATGTGGTAACATTTTATTAGATAGAGATAATACATCAATTACCTGCTAAACGAGACATAGGGGTTTGAGACAATTTTTTAGCAAGAACTTTTGAAACGGTAAAGACGGGGTACCATCAAAAGGCAAATATCCGGATAGTAACAAAAATCTACCCCTATGGGTAACCGCACACAGTTGAAAATATCGTTACAACCAATATCAGTAGTAATAAACATAATAGCCAAATTAGTAGAAAGGAATAAATAAATATTAGTTAACTGGTCTTTAACAAAGCGAATAACTGATCGCGCATATAAGATTCGTATCATTTATTAAAAATAAAATTTGTTTATGTTTGACGCGTAAACAGTAACTACAATAATCTGATTCCAGCTGTTGCTTCCAGTTATCGAGTATAATAAACCTGTAGCATACTTTTTGCTTTAATTTTATAAATGTATTTTTCTCACTTACTCGACGGCCGCTTAAAGACAAAAATGATAATTTCACAGCGATATGCCTAAGGTAAAAAAAGCAATTACAGACGGCGTCGTTCTCGTTCACGACGTCATTCTTTAGCGGTGATTCAGTATTCACCGCACTCATTTTACCCATCGTATGCTTGAGTCAGCAACGGTTCTTACCCAACCCATCATTATAGCAAACCTGCCGAAATTGGTCTATTGTAGTCTAACTGTTGGATACCGAAATAGTAGATAGACGGAGATGAAAGGGAGAAGCGGTCTGCAGCACCTTTGGCCACAGTGAAGACCTTCTTCGATACCAAACACGAGCCTGGATTTCTTATGCGCGTAGTTCCATGGGGATCTTGGTAGCTTGTCCGTTTAATAGAGTGCAGGCGCTTGTCTACTAAAGAAATGCAAGGTAGGATCTTTGTCTGCGTCTGTTCGGAGTGATCTGCGAACATTTTTTATTACTTTTATTAATTATAGTATGATTCGGTATATTGACCTGTTATTAGTGGACGCAACGGTGACTTTGAGTTTTCCAGTATTCCATAGATGTACTTGGGCCGATTGCTGTACAGTAACCTTTACATGCTTGACGCTTTTGTGCGATGAGTTGACTAAACTAATTTTTACCCGAATTGCTTCACCATGCTCATACGCCTGTGGAAGATCAATAAAATTATCATCTTAGTAGTTACATACAAGGACCAAAAGGAAATACACCTACTTTTTTATTACCTTATATTTTTTTATTTTATTATATTATATGTTTTATTTTATTTTATTAATTCCATTAAATTGATTGTACCACTATTATAACAAATATTTAAAACGTATGTTTATCTAACACGAGACCAATGACATGACATCATTCGAAAACTGCTTTCTAACTTTTTGAGGTCCTTCAAAATAAATTACTTCTGTTAGTTTCTATGAGGGGATCAAGCACAGTGTGTGCCTAGGAAAGACCTGCGGAAGGTCGTGTTTTGGGTGAACTCACGAATATTGTAACTTGTCTTAACGTAAACTTTAGCATAAGCGCTAATTAATCATGAACTTTGGTCGTGACTTAATGAGCTATACAAAAGGACCTCACTAACGAACTTAATACGCTCCGTGATCACTCAGTCATTCACAATGTTTCATGTTCCACACTGCCGTATGTAATTAGCCCAGACATAAAAGCAGAATATAATTGCACGAGCTAATGAAGGGGTGGTAAGCCGATGAAGTAGTAACAACAGCGTACAGATAACAGCCAAATTGCTATTGTAAAAATAGATAATAGAACAAAAGTCCCTATGGACAGTGAGAAAGTATGACCAGCTTTCTATGGCTTTCAGCAGCGAAGCCGGCTGACGAAGATGATAGAGATGCAAATTTTTTGCTTATACAGTACATAAATGCGCTGATTTGCCTTCTCTTTTAGACGGGGCCGCAGAAGCTGTTACATTGAGGGATCTTCTGGATTCAACGACTTCTATGATAGATACACTCGCGACTTGAATAAAAGGAGACACGGCTTCTGTATCTCCTGATATTGAATTTTAATTTCACTCGACAGGAACGAACGAGTTCACGGTCGTTACATTCGATGAATAAATCCATCCGGTGCAATACTTGTAGACTTGGTTGAATAGAACTATTATAGCGAACATGGGCGTGTCGTATGTTAGCTTTAGGATAAAACAACACCAACAGAAATAGCGCTGCAGTTCTGTAGCGCTGCAGAAATGAACCGCCTAATTTCGAAAAAGTGTCAAATATTAATAATAAACTGTCAAAAAAAAATAAATAAATAAAATGTCAAAATAATGATAACAGCACGTTCATTCTATAGTGTATGAAAATATTAACGTTTTTTTTTCCTCACTCTTGACTATGTTAAGTGAGCCGAAACGTATTTATGTAAATATCTTGTTCAATCAAATGTTGAAGTTCTTGAAAATTGCCGTACAGTATAGCGAGGTGAAGTCATCGACGCTACGGCTAAATGTCTGCTTTTTACTGAAGTAACCAACTATACGAGGAGATGATAGGAACGGGGAGTAGCTGTTCTAACGTGCACACCTAACTGTTAGTAATGCTTAAATATTTAATCCTTTGACCCGTCCGTTTATAACACCATCTGATCAAAGAAAATCAATCTGTGTACCCTGCAGGCTTTCGCCTGAGGCATTTGTTAATTAGAAAGATTCAAAGAAAACTGCATTTGTACAGACCCAGCATTATACGAAAACACCTCGTCAATGCCATGAGTAGTCTGTTCAGGAGTTTTTGTTATAAAATCAAATTGGAGCGAACCCCCTGTGTTGCTATGTGCTATCTGATTTCACGGTCGGATGAAGTAAGTGAATGGACGATTAGGACTTTCTATTTAGATCGTCATCTATGATCCAAAATATATTCTATGAAACGATGGTGCTCACATTGTCCTCGGGGAATAAGTCTATTCTGTCTTTGTGATACGAGCTCTACAAAAACGTGTCACATGACTCTAGCCTATGGATCCGAATAGAAGCTCTTAATGACAATTTGGTCAGTGTATATATACCTAGTCATCAGTAAGCGTGAAGGCTGAGTTTAGGGGTTTCGACATTGTACAGTAACGCTCACGTAACCACAGTCTGTAGCAGAGCGCCGTTGATCTGCGCTCCATGCTAGCTTTAGCAACTATTGGCTCTGCTTTTGAAGACGGTTAAGAACTGAAGCTATCAGGCAAAAACGATGCTGAGGTAAATCCAAACTTCGCGTCAATAACCAAAGCAAGCTTGATATTCTGTGCTATTTTTGTTAGCAGCTAGTAGTATCGGGTTGTAATATCAGTTAATCTTATTAGATTGGCCAGCTTCAAACGTGACATAGCGGACTTTCACTTTGCGAGCTCTTTGTATTCTATGTTGCTTTATTTTCAGTCTATGTATGCACTATCATTGTTTAGAATTTTCCGTCCTCTTTATCACCTTTCTATAGATGTCTAGGGTGCAAGGGTCTACGAATCGTCGAAACGAAATTTTGAGATCGTGTTGGTAATATAATAACTGTCTTATCAGGAAAAAAAATAGTACCCAGCAATGTCTGATAGATATGGGGGGTGTACAGGGTGCCTCCGATTATAAATCCTACGTTTTTGTCACCACGCTTTTGCAGCATGAAAATGAGCTCTTTAATGCAATAGAAATGGCTTACTTTTGTTCACTAATCTTGTTCTCTATCTCACAGTCCTGTTTGCTAATCCCAGTCTTTTTTTTTTTCTTATCATTTCCTCTAAATACTGAACGTATTGACTAATCGTAGTCGACGAACTCGCTATTATGAAATTCTGCTGGATAATAACAATTATAGTAGAAGATTTATTTTCTATCGTAAGTCACCATTCAGTACAAGGCCTTTGTAACGCGAGAGCAAAAAGCAGCACGCCCCTCCATATCCCTTTATAGTGTTCACTACAATGTTCGATTCCTCTCTACTCGTCTTCGCGGTGGGGTTTCTGTGAGACTCATTTCCAGATTTAAAATTTCCTTCCCGAAACAAAGCCAACGGCTCACGGTGTTTTTAGTAAATGAACAGTCACCAAATACAAAGTCTATGTAGCAAGTTGTTTCCGTCAATGTAGCTCCGAGATGAAATTTACATTCATAAATCTGCCCAAGTTTTCTGATTTCCCATAGTGACTACAGTTCGCCTGCTAAAACTCTAACTGACGATATCGAAGTGACAGATTTCGGATCACAATAAGTACAGGTAAAAAAGGTCACGACTGAAAAAAATCCGCGAAATGCCGCGCTGTTACAAAGCAGCATCATCTTGAAGTATCAGGGGAACGTTCGCTCCGTTTCATATCGAACGACTAGTTATAAATACATATACCTATGTTCTCTCCGGCCGCAAATCTAACTTCCGTATTTCCGTACAACTAGCTAATAATATTATACGCTTCTGCTTACTATAAATATATTTATTTGTAGGAGCGATTAGATCCGAGAACGCGCCAAAGCATTCGCGGAGAGAGGCAGATTAAATGAAAAATAGATGTACGCCCCGGGTAAATTTAAAAAGCAAATGTCTCTTAAACGAAACGCAAATGAAATGCGAGACTGAATTAAAAACAAATAAGTAAGTTGTAAGCATTCCGAAGCAACCCAAAGTATCTGAATTAGGTTCGACTGTGGCGCCTCTGGTGGCGACGTATTAAACTCTGTGCAACAGTAATTACATAGAGTTTATTAAGCGTTTGCAAAAGATGCCACCGCTGGAGTTGGGTAGACGAATAAATTTAACAAATAAGCCAGCGCGGTCTTTACTGTAGCCGCTTTCCAGATACGTCTTGCGGGCGAGTTCGTAGTGTGTTGTTACTTTTGTTTAGCACTGGTTTTCGTTTTTCTGCCTGGCACGGTCTCCTTGACCCTATGAAAGTCAGATTCCGTTTCCTCGAAACCAAGAAAACAAATGGCTTCGTCTAGCCCCCAAAATAAGCTGGCGCCATTGCCGGTGCATTTGTTGACAGGCGCAAGAGCGCGAGCCCGGCTTGCACTTTTCCGTACGTCTTTCGACTTTTGCTAGAAAGTACAGTTATTCGATGCTCAGTTTCGATCTTCCTGGGTAAACGCAGTTAGTTTTGTCAACGGAAATTTCGCAAATCGCTGACCGTTTAGGGCTACCACAGGCCGCGTTAAGAGCACTTTTTTAATCTTTACTAGATAGATAAAAATGCAACGAAGTAGTCACGTTACCGGAGATGGCCAGCATGTGCACTTTGAGGAATATTTTTCGACGGATAGCATAACAGGCCGAGAATTTGGGTACCGAATGCGAAACAGGATATGTCCTTCAGGGAGCAAGTGGATAAGGACAGAGAGAAAATTTACGATCGATTCATAGTACCTTCGTGTGCTACATACCATGTCACCCTGTTCGAGGAGCGATATCTCAAAAAAGAGTGCTTTTCTTCGAAAAAAAAAAAAAATCAAATTTTGCATGTAACTCTAGTACTTGCTAAAGCGTAACCTAACAAACTCTGCAATGTTTCGTAAAAACAATTTGTGTTCGGCTAACCTGATTAACTTAAATAACTTTCATGATCACATCTCCCTTTGCTGGGTATGAAAGAACTGTGCGGAGCAGTGTGTTCGGTAGGAAGTAACAGTTGATAGAGCAATAACAAGTAAACCTTGCGTAAATAAAGAGAGCTGAATTAAGAATGGATTGGGTTAGTTCCGATTGAATTTACATTTTTTTTGCACATAAATTCCGAAACTTGCTAGGGTTTATAGAAAATAATAGTAATGATATGCTTTCAAGCTCCAACACATTTCGAGCTCTAACTTTCGTTAATACAATGGTAGTATTGTATATGATGACGGAAGGCGGAAATAGCCGAACCTACAGGACAGTTCCTAAACGCGCAAAGGGAATTTTCACTTAAAGGCTGCACACATATTTTTTTTTTGGTTTAATTTTTATCAATATTACTATAGAGACCTAGTACGAGAGAATCAACTTACCGCTTTGTTGAGCGTGGCTTCTAGAGCAAGACGACCCCCGTTCAATGGGAACTCTTTAAGGATCGTTCCTTTCGGAAGCGATTTAGATGGATTAACGACTGGGCTACCGAATTGTAACTAGACAGAAAAACAGGAGCAGCAATTATCAGAATTACTATATAGAGTTAAATGTCAAACGTGGCAAATCTTTAAATGCTAAAATGCAGGCTGTAAATTGAAAAATAGATCGTCGTGCAGATCATATACATAGACGTGTACATATACATATATATGTATATGATCTGTACATATATGCGCAGATCATATACATACATATATATATTTATTGTACATTCATTGTAGTAGTCGGTCTCTATCCAAGCGTTTTCTAGACTATGCGTATGTACAAATAGTGCTGTATTTTAGGGCTTCGTCTAAAATAGACCTAAATTGAATAAATTTGAATACAAGTTAGAACAGCGCCATTTTTTTATATGGTAGATGTACTCCAAACAGTTACTTCTATTAGCGGGCAGATGATAGGTGTGAGCGCCACTCATTTTCTGTGTGGCGAGTCATCATTCCATTGTTTGATCCATTGTCCTATCCAAAACATGAAACTAATCTAAGTTGTACCGACTTAAATCTGGAAACTGCAGGCTATTTCGTCTTCTTCACTCGAGTCCGATCGAAACGTGGCGGTAAGGCCGTGGATTGTTATAAAGCATGCAGACAATGTACTCTCAAGAGATTCTTCAAGAATTGTAAACATCTGGGAGAGTTGAATATTTCCTTTTTGCGATATAACAACGAATGTCTTAGATATCTAGAACGCGAGCATGGGAATCAAGTCACATTCAAGTGTATCCCACGCTGCTACCAGGCCTTCTTTTTTGTGTAACGCCATTTTCTTGTCGAAGTCTTTTATGAACAGTAAAAACCCAACCCCACCTGGCTCGTAGCGACGGCGTCGTCCAAATAGGACTCCTGCTTCTAGTAGTTAATCGAATTATATCCAAAACACCATACATAGTTTCATCTACCCAGGCCGAAGCCCATAAGAAAAACATTTCACTTTTCTTCTTAATTTTTATTCTTTGTGTCACAACGTGTCCTTGGAGAAAACTGGGTCCACGAGGAATGCATTGTTCATCTTCAGAGATTTTGCTCAAGGGTTCCCGTGATCACAGCTGTCTCCTCGTTTCATTTGAGGTGCTTAGAGTTAGTCGCGTTTTGTGAAAATTTCAATCCTCAATTTTAGTGCTGAAGCGAACAGGAACAAATAACTTTGCCCTCGTCGAAGGTCTTTTTACCTAATATTTTCAGCCATTTTCAGTGTCCAATTCCATTAATGATTCCACTTGAAATTCAATTACTGGCTGTTGCTTTTTGTCATAGAGCGCTACTTTTATTTCTAGTGTATATATATATATATATATATATATATATAAGCTTATAGTTGTAGATGTCGAGAACCTTATATAAATATATACCACCTCTCATCCAATAATGGTTTAAGGGTCATTCAAAATGTTCGACTCATGAAATAGCTCAATAGCTGCTAGTACCGCAGTTGTAGGTCTATTGACAAGCGGTAATTATTCCCAGTACCTATTGGTAAACCTAATAACGCTTTCCAGGAGAGCGCCTCCTAAATGCCTAATCGTTTAACACACACGATAGATCTAAAATACCGCTAAATGAAGACTTGAATTATTCAAGTTACGTTGCTCAAGCAGTGCTCGCAAGCAACGTATTATTGGTCGTACATGATTGTTCCTATGTTGTCTCTCGGTTAACACATTCAAGTGAAGACACTATAGGGTTCGCGAGCTTCACGTATAGTGCACTTAGATAAAACACTATTTCAGATAACTGTTATTGCAGTGGCCGTTTTCCGTCTAGCCATACTCAGAAGTTATTACAGTTTATCCTCTTCTCACAAACCCTCAGCTCGCTTTGAGGATTCCTTAGATAATCCTCATCTGGCTTCCCTGTAGAGACATGCGATGCGCCTCATTATTAGCCCTTTGCTGTAAAGAAAATAGCCCCTCCGGCTTGAGGCCGCATCAGCTGAGGCAGAATCGACCTTCAGCATACAAACGAACCAATGAAATTGAGTCGCACTAATACAATTTAGTGAGACTTAAGTAAATTTTCAACCTTATTTCCATTTAGGTTCAGCAAACTTTATTGATCACAACCTAATTTTATTAAGTGCATGCTTTTATGAAATAAAGCTAATTAGGGGCTGGCTGACGTTTCTAACTGACGTTAATGGCTTCACGTCGCCAACACCTTCTATACATAACCATTCGTTCAGGCGGAACTGCACCTGCTGTATAGGGAACCGAGACAATCTACGTCATCGTTGACCAAATCGTCCTTGCGATATTTTGTAAATGGATCGAGGCAATAAAGTTGCTGCAAGCAATTACTGCTCACTATGGTGTATGCTACATGTCATGGGGTTGGTTTACTGTCGCAGGTCTGTATGCATCATTATATAGGAAAGTCTGACGTAGCCGATAACAACAGACATATCTTAACTCACAAGTTACGAAACCGTATCAATAGCATTTTTCCTTGAGAGGAGGTCACTATGAGCAGTAGCAGTCTTCTTATAGGATACGGGTACGCAAATTCGTTCAGTTGGAGAAAAGGGGAAGGCCGTTAGTCCGTTCGGCAACTCGCACCGTTTCATTGGTTCTTTTGTTTCTCCATCAATGGCCCACCCTTTTTCTCCTGGGCTTATTCCTTAGACTTGCTGGGCCGCAATAGACAACATCGCTACATCTGCATACTTCGTACGAAGGAATCGCCAGAAGTACGGTGTGCGACTGAGGAACAGCCTGTCTATTAATTCAGACCCGATCGCATTATAGCGTTGCCGTAAATAATTAAGCGGCGATTACCTTTCTCTTTTGTCTAGTTGCCGGCCTCTATTGTTTAATTACATCGGTATGGCATATGATATCACTGAAAGCAAAGGCCTCATCTCATCAGCAGATATACGGTTTTCCGTTGTGTAGATGGTACTAAAAGATTATTTTGTCTAATTCAGAAACTTTGATTTTTTTTATTCAAAGGTTTTTGAGCTTAAGGAGCAACAGTATTCATTGTGTGTATACGTATGTAAATGTATGCCTGTCAAAATATATTCTGAAAGAGCTAAAAAACTCACAATTTCTACCTAACAAATTACAATCGATTTGTCTTTCAAGGATCATTTTACCGATCGGATAAACACATAGAAGAGTTAAACCTGTATTTAATTAACGTAAACTGATGCACAACTGAAACCAGCCTCTAAGAAAGAAAATACTGATTGTGCCAGATATACCAAGATAGAGTGTAGATTTTTTGGTGTTTCGTATTAAGATACTCATTTTCTTAGTATTGCTTCTTTTTTCAGGACCAAAAGGTTTCAATAGTGGATGGCAGTGGCAAAGTTATAATTAAGTTACCTGCTCACTACCGTCACATTGTATTTACCAGTTATGACCTTGTACTGATGTTTCTAGTCTAATACACAAGGCACAATTGTGACCTAAAATGGCTAAGCAGAGATATATCTCTAAACGCCTTTTTTTTCAGCTTCACAAACCACATCACTCCGAAAATGTTGAAAACATTAATGGGATTCGGACTCCAGCTTGTCGAACAGTATTTTGATAGTTATTACAGAAAAATATTCGTGATACGTACGGACCGAATTCGACGGTTCTCTCATTATCTGAATGAATTGTATGAACGTGCGGTGAAAGAACGTATTTAGTTGTTAACTGTTAACTGGTAAAAGAACCAGCATTGATCTGTTACTAATGAGTGCAGTCCTGCAGCCCGCTGCAAATGGTAAAAATAATCACGCTCTTATCGGGCGAAAAATTCCCGTTCGGATGGCCGACAACAGCTATTTGTTCATCTAGTTTTCCCAGTTTACCTTGGAGAGAGTAACTTTGATCTCAATGCTCAAGCGGTCGTCGTAACCATCTTTGACCGGAATCGCCGCGACTGCAGATATCCCGATACAATGGGTCCTTCGCTCTTGCAGGACCCAGGGAGACAGATAGCCGGAAGCATTGAACCTTCCTTGCTTTTTCCTCTTTCTGATAATTTTCGCAGACCAAACAGCCCGATGAATACCCCTTGTAGGGATACGAGAGTGAGAGAGAGAGAGAGAGAGAGAGAGAGAGAGAGAGAGAGAGAGAGAGCGGTGAAACGCGGATGGCTGGTAAATGACGAAGTAAGCACTAAAACAGGTGCGGCAGATCGTCTGGTTTCTCTAGGTCACGACACGTATATAAAGATTTGTTCACGTTAGATTTGTTTTTCAGTGTCACCCCAGTTGGTGCACGGACCTGGAAAGTAAAACCGGAACTACCAAGTTGCATAATGCCGACACAGAGGGAAAACGGCGATCGAAGTGCACACTGGAAATTGCTATTTCTCTTTCTGCTGGCCTTGTGTGGCCTTGATTGATTTCGTGTTAGACGTATTGACTATACAAACGATTTGCACATGCAGCGTTTAAATAAAGTCTCCAGGTGGTCCATGTCGAGCACGTCATAAGCAGTGATCTTGGCCTCCGCTTCGTAGCATCATAAATTTGAGTTTTAGCTGAAGAATGTCTGGGAGTGCGACAATCAATGAGACAGCGCGTGGCCTAAACAGAAGCGCGAAACAGAAGTGGGACTGTTTATAACCAGAGACCAATAAGGACCGTGCTTGAACTTATTTTTTATCTTTTTGTGGCTGTGAAGGCTATTTGTACGTTTAAGCAGATAGCAACAATCTCATTTGACATGATTTTAAATAAACGCTCTGTAGTTGACTTTTTGAGAAGCTGTGGCAGCAATAACAAACCTATGGGTGTAGTAATAACAGAAATAAGTTCCTATTCCAAGGCCGCCTGATATTTACAATATGCAACATTTCAATTCGTGGAAAATCTTATTTAGTAATTTTATTTGGAAAAGAGCATTGTTTGTTTCCTGGCAGAAGCTGCTTCTGTTTGATACGTTCTCTAGTTTTGAACTATTAAATGTTTTTCTTCAAACATTGCTTTAAGGATGATCTCCAAGTGCATCAAGGATCGTTCGAGCTTCTTCTAACAGCGTAGCACTGTCTTGATAATACAGCTGATGATAGCCCCAAGGCATAGTTGTTTCAGGGCACCTAATTCGCTTTGTCTGGGTGTTGCCGTTGGAGATGCTTTGCACCCTCTTCTTTTTGTCCATCAACGATCATCGTTTTCTGCGAACGTGTCATGTCAGCGTTCCCACGTTGTCTGGACCAATTGTTTAGTTTCACCTTTAGCCCTTTTTCTTTTACGTAACTTATAGCAATTGTGAGTGGATTAAGCGCATGCTACGACTGAAGTAAGGTGATGATCCTGCAGACTCATCTTTTATGAATGAGCTTGTTATCTGCTGCTTATACTCATAGTTGGTATATACCAATGAAGCAACGTGATTCGTGTAGTGCGGATGCCCCTCGTATAATTGAATACTGTATCTCAAACGAAACATTATATCGTACACAAAGAGACTGAAATGTTCAAAGGAGTTGTTATTAAAGGACAGTGAGCTTTAAAGCATTTCATTAATCAGTAGATAATGCTGGATAAAGGCTTCGTGGAAGAACGCGGAACTTTTTAGGGCCTTCGCAAATGAAGTCCGACAGAGCAGCATTTGCATTCTTTTGTGTGTTCAAAAATGTGCCATTGAGATGCGAAATAGGTTTTTTTTTCCAAACGGTTAATTCGACCAGGGAACTACAGAGACCATCGTGAGCTCCTCGCACCACTTCAGCAGTCATTAACAGACGCTTCTTTAACTGCGTATTAAAACAATATATGACATGGATGCCATAATCCGATAACAATTCTTTCTCATTGAGTATTCTGCGACCGATGCTTTTAACAAAATATCTTAGTTCTGGTCTATATTTGCATGTTACTTATTTGTTTTTCAACCAACCTTCGAGAGATTCAGACAAAAGAGAAACCATATTGTTTGTTCACTGCTTGTATACACAACGTTGAACATAATCAGTAATCTGACTTCTAACAAACTGAGTCGAAAGGTCGAGAGGAAAAATTAAGGTATCTTATATAAGAGTAAAATTAACGCTATGTTGACTGCGTCCAAAGTGTTCTCCAGTTCAATGGTTTGTCTCCTTAAAACCGAGGAATAAAATAAAAGGACATTTCTATAAAATTCCATATGGAAGCATTGGTTATCATGAGCGAATCCTTTGGCTAACCCTGACACATTAGTTTTAAGTATAAGCTCATTTTCAATGGAAGATATTTTTAGATAGTGAATGATATGATAAAATGATTATGTGGACAATAGTATGGTCTATAAATGTGTCAATTCTAGACAAAACTGCAGCCTCGTGACGCTGCGGTTCTTGTGGACGCATTGCAATAGTGATGGGTTTGTAAGTATCTTTGCCTAAAATGCATGGCCGTACACTCGATAATCCAGGTCAAAGTCAGGCAGCTTTGGGAAGCTTGAAAGCCCAGCGTAGAGATAATCAAGATCATTTCAGTGTGTTATCGAAATCGTTTTTCCCTTAAAGACGCTATCCTCCATTCAGCTCAGTGTACCATTGCAGTCAATGTTCAACATATATTATAAATACTATAGTTGCAGTAACACGATGGGGTCTTTGATTCGGGCCAAAACGCTTTGACATCCCTGTCATTGTTCAGGGTCTGAAAAATATACTGAAAAATCATCCAACGTGGATACTACAATAAGCAAACGTATCTGTTTCGACTTTTCTACGTTTACGGCTAAACTTTTCTTTACAACTTCCTCAACAAAGTTTACTAAACTCTTCTTGTACAAAATGCCCCTTGCGGGCGTTTTGTGTATTACATAGTTGCATGTCTCGATGGCTGTACTCGCAGTCGACTGCAACTAAACGTCAAGACTGCATGCCATGAACAATACTTAAGAGAATCAGGCAAAAAGAAAAACGACAAGCTTGTTTTCTTTCTGTAAAAAAAAAACAACTTCTAAGGGCAACAGTGATAGTAGCACTACAAGCGACTACATACAGGTACTCAAAGATCTCACTGTTTTGCCGAGTAACCGATAACTCGGTACGTATTAAGGGAATCGAACCTCTCGTGTGACCCCCACTCAATTCTGGAGACAAGAGGAGAGTAAGATATGAAAGAAGCCCAAAAGAAGAAGATTAACGACGTGGATTCATTAAGCAAAATTTCTATTCATAACATTGAAACTCCAAGGGAATTTATGTAGACTGTAGCTGTATGCTAATATTGTTGATTCTGCGGCAGTTATAACCGTAAAGTTCCCATCTGTGAAATTAATTATTGACAAGCACGTTTTTGATAGGCATGAGCACTTTTCTTCAACATACTTCAAAAACTACTTGGATGCATTATAATATAATAACAAAGCATAACGTATATGACGTTCTCACAGGACCAAGATATGAACGCCTACCTTTCGAATAGGGAAATTTAACACGCTGATAGTACTGTGTTCCTTGTTTAGATCGACTGAGCCATAGCATCGAACATAGTATCGTACCCCGCACGTGTCACCAGCGTCCGGGGTCAGCCGCTGCATAATAGTCGAAACCGGCGCATCTTCGGGAAAGACGAATGAAAAATGAACCTTTGCCTTGTCTTCCGGACAGCGACGGCCATCTGACGGCGAGCCTGGCAACCGCGGATCGCTGTCATTGACGCCTTCTGGAAGTAAATCCACCAGACGAAGTTAACGTCAACTAGCATCTCTGAGAGCATCTCAAAATTCGGTTAATCGATAAATGTATTGTTTTTCAGTCCAGCCGTTCCAGCCGACCGTACCCGTCTGGACGGGTACGGTCGGGTGGAACACAAGACCGCAACTTTTTTAATCAAACGATTATTGCTATGTAAAGTAGAAAAAAAAAGCACCAAAATGTTCTATTAGGTGATAAATTATAATCCTCAGCCAAGAGAATTAACAATTCGATTAGTAGCGTTATTCCATTAAACAGGCTACGCTACCTATTCTCGATAATCGTTCGTTTGCGTGCGATAGGTACTCCGAAAATACCGTGTTTATCCGTATGGCCACCGAGCCGGTTTTTATGACACGCAGAAAATGTGTTTGCTATTTTTAGTAATTTTCTCGTGATTCGGTAAATATTATTCAGCAATCTAAAGTTCTTCTTTAGTCCTATAGACCGCTTGTAATCATTGTATCTGCACAACAAATCCTTATTTCGATCTGAACTAAAAAAAATTAATATATACGTTTCAGCAGTCGGCAATTTCATTCTTTCATAGAGTATACAGCCATATTTATCATTTTAAAGAAAATTATGACGATATAAACTGATGGGTAAACACCGATCACTCCTTGGATGATACCGAAAAGCAAGACCCTTTATCGAAATTTCCCAGAAGAGTTTTCTGACCCGAAGGTAGATGTGTTTACTATTCGTTTTCCATACGCCAGAGGCAATGCTTCAGTGTTTAGCACTATTTCCTGTACTGTTACGGATGTTGACATAGGTGCAATTACGTCAATCCGAACATGCCTCCAAAACCAGGTCTAGTGTCGACCTAGGTTCAACGATAAGACATACTACCACTAATGTTATACCAAATACATAAATTGTATTACACCGCAACGTCCCAGTCGATGGACGAGTGCGAGGCAAACGGATGCCCACGAGAATCACTACACACATTGTATTCTTGCAAAAATCAAACGATCTCGAACCTCTCATCGACTTTGCATCTAAACATACGAAGCTTTGTTTTGCTGCTAACCAGCGGAGACTATGTCACTTGCATTGGAAGAACTGGGACTCCAGAACCCCGATGCGGCCGTAGAAAAAGTTCGTCTCATATCGCCAGATAGCTGAGGCTATTCAACGCTTGTTAATTCAATAATCACAAACAAGTGTCGACAATTGACGACGAGTTACTTCGAAGCCGTCTGTACTTTGCTAGTCGAGTACTCTCTTGTGCGAACTATGTGTCCGTTCATCGCTTTCATTATATTTTTTCAGTCGATTTGCTCGGAGAGCTTCACTTGAAAAGTTTTGTTGACGCCCCTTATTAAATAGTACGAATAGTCTCTAAATTGTATGGAATATTGAATCTGAGAGGTTGTCACGATCTAAAGCTGCAAAGCCTTCTGTACACTTAAGGCCCTTGTTCCCGCCGCTACAAACGGAAATTCAAGCTTTCGTACAGCTGTCCATACTTATTGCTCATGGGCAAAAGATGCGAATGTGCGAAACCAGGCTAGCTTGTACCACCGTTCACTTGCCTAAACATTGCCCCTACAGGTCATAACTTCTATGGAAAAGGTCTTAGCATGTGAAGTAAATGAATGTTATTGAAATATTATACTAAGAATAACTTGAAGGTCGCTTACGCAACCGATATGGGCATGTTGCTTCGCAATAATCGTTAGATTAACCTAGGACAAAAACGTACGTCGAATCTATGTGCGGATATTAATGGCCCTTAAAGAACGATCATGAAGTCCGTGTAAAGGTCAACCCGGAACGCTGAATTGTTTAACTCACGCGATAACCAAGCGATTGATGTGGCACAAAAACATTGGTATAAGTATAGCTGTTTTCGAATCAATTCAGTTTTATGATTTCACAATACACTGTTCCTTGTCATATGAGCAAAAAACTATAGGCGGGAACATATACGCCTATGCACGCACGTGCATGTTTGCCGCCTATAGGCACAGCAGCGCTCGTTCACACGCTATACCACGAGCTTTAAGCCACCTGGTCGACACACCCTACTTTCATTCAATCTTGTAGCATTATCGATCGATTTTCTGCCAGGTTTGCGGATGCATCGAAAGTCAATATCATGTAGGATTCGGATATGCCATTACTTTTATTTACTTTATTTGAAAGCCTTCGTTCGAGTCGGTAGACGTTTGATGCTCATTGGATTATCGGCCACAGTTGTCTCCGTCGGGGTCAAACGTGGGGCGCCTTTAAGCATGGCATATTCAATATGAGTAACAAAATAGGTTTTAGTTAACATCTCTCAACTTTCGCGCCTGTAATCAGAGCCATCTTGGGGAAAAAAACCAGATACATAACTTGCCTTTGAAAAATTAATGGTGATTTCTGAATGAACTTCTGTCGTACTAAAGAAATAGTCGAGTATATCCGTGTGTAAGAGACGTGAGGAATGTTAAACTAATAAGTACGATAACTTAATAATGATGTAAATAACGAGCACGATAAGTGGTCAAATTATCTGAGCGAACGTCGAAAAATATAGCAGCTAGTGATTTGAAAAACCCGCGATTTTTGGGACAAAATAAACAGTAGCATCAGGTGAAGGCGCGATGGCTACGTATATTGCTGTACTTCCCCTTGCACCATATCAATTGCATTGGTACATTGAAGTCGAAGTTGTCATCAGCTGATGCTATCGTTCAGAAGAGAGCATGGCTTATCAGATAACACTTTACATTATTCCAAATAACTAACATGTATATAGATGCATTCCGGTGCAGTGTAGAAATAATTGAGTAAACTATCTTTACAATAGGAAAGTTATGCATAAGTTATATCTTAATATTATACACAGGAAAACACTATTTCCTTATCTCGTTTCCTTCCTAGGGCTATCAACTATCTAGACCTTATGGTCCTGGCTACATTAATTATAGTATTATTATTATTATTGTATAAAAATAGAAGTATAAACAAAAGCTATTTAACTTGTAACAGCAGCTGTGCATATGCCAAGCAGACAAGATTGTCCTTTCTGTAGGGAGAAAGCAGAACTGGGTTTAGAATTGGTTCTGTTTTAGGTCATTACTTGTTGAGCTGATCAACTTCGGTAAACAAACGGCTCGGTGTCTTCGGTTCACGCACATAGTATTTTAGAAACGGCATAGGTTTCAAGATGGACACAGACATTCTTTCCATAATAACGAGCCAATGTACACAGAAGATGTAAACATGAAAGGCCTAAAATCGAATGCACTTGTCCGGTTTCTCCAGTTTTTCAAGTAAATATAGTTTACGGTCGACTTAAATAGAACAGGACACCGTTAGACAGTAGTGTCATCTAAGAGCGTTCTTCATAGCATGTCTATTATATTATCGAAAATTTCCCTTCGAAATAGGCAAACTATTTCGCATGTGAAGGCATATTTGGCCTACGTCTTTCAGGCTTGCATAAGTAATGTAATAATGTAACAGAATTTCCATATAGAATAGAAACGAAGAACAAACGGAGGTCTTTAAAATATATCTATCCAAATGTTTGGTGCTCCAAAGAAAATAAATTTCAATTGAATTTCCAATGCAATCTGTACACTAGCGATACACTTAACGGTATTATATCTAGAAAGCTTAACTGTGTTCACTAAATATTTACAATATGTGTTATTATTGAATTATTCTTGACACTTCCTAATTAGGTGAGCTCTGTAGGAAAGCAACGGGCCTAGGTTGGCCTTATTTTTGGAGTCCTTATACGCCGGATCTCGCCGAGCACTAATACGAGTGTTGGGTAGTATCTTTGTAACACTAGTGCAATATAGCACACCCATTAACTTAGTATCTTAACAGCTCAAGATTTCAAAGACGTCCGAAGTGAACGATATACTTTAAATCCTTCGTAGCCTTAGAGTAGCGATCAATTCTTTTATATTAAGCCTTCGTCGCACCTGGTACTCCTGGTGAGGCTATTACTTTTACTAGATCTCTATTGCAAGAATGGTCTACTACCGGTTTTGTCGGCATTTTTTAACCTTCTGCCTATATCTTTACGTAATTAATATGCAAACTTCGCAAGCGACCCCCTTTTAAGGGTGATTAAAGCAAAGAACCGAAACGAAAAACTCATTTACTTATTAGTCTCATGTCAAGTTTCCATTATTATTATTATTAATGTTTCTTTATCTTTCAATGATTACTGTCAAAACCTACGCCTCTGATAATTCACTCCGCTTTAAGGAACGTATGACACAGAATCTGTCCAAATCTACTGCGTTTTCGCGCGTTCCTTGGGGCTTCCTCAGACGTCTTGGTCGTCTACCGAAGGTGAGTATTCGAACCCAGATCAGGACGTTGCCAATAAAAAAGCTTTTACCAGCTGACTAAGTGTGAGCTAGGCAATCAAATTGCCCGAAAATGATGGACATCTGTAGAGAGAGGCTCATCTGCTGCAAAGGCAGCGAAGACTGTAGACTCAAATCCTTAGTACCGCTGTATGCGCTTGTAACGAAGGAAATTTTCATAGAAATAGGGTTTATTGTAGGCACACAGCCTGTTAATTATCGAAGAATAGTTATAGACATACGTCGTTTTGTACTATTTCGTTGTTGTTGTTTCTGATGTTGGCCAAATCTAGCGTGCCTTTAGAACATAGAGATTGTTTCAATTTCGGAGAAAAACCTACGACAAACGTAAAAATAACAAGCGAACAATAGCAGCTACCGGACAAACTTACCAGACGAAGGCCCGGGTTGCTCGTTGCCTGTCTGCAACGCTCCCTGAGGCTGTGCCTCACCGCTTGATGTGACTGTCTCACCTGATGACTGGGACGAACTGCCCTGATGGAAACCCGCACCCTTAGCCCAAACCAGCTTATGGCCCATATACATTTCCCTGAAATTCGTCCGATCATCCGCAAATTGTTAGTATTATTCCAGACCTACTAAAGACCCATCGAGGATAAGGTGCACGACACCTCTTAAAGTGAGGGACGATATAATGAAAAACTCAGTGTGTCAATCTTAATTAGGTGTGGCAGAAGCTAATGAAAAAAAAAACAATGAGGCTCATGCTTTTCGAGTAGAATCTTTTTAACGTTTCCTTCCTAACGTTTTTGCTCAGTATAGGTCGGACTACATTGTAAAAGTTTAACAGTTGCGTCATTATCTTCAAGCAATATATTATGGACATGGGGAACCTATTTTAAGCAAGTATTGGAGACATCGGTGATCTGTACACTGGAACCCTCCAATAGCGACGACGCGTTCAATGGCGTATCAGGGGTATTTATTCAATGTTTTGTATAAAACAGATAACGTTAAACTTATTAACTCAAATTAAATACATCATAATGTTTATTCTTCGCATCTACGATGCATGTACGCTTCCGAAGGCTGCGTGTTAAAATTTAATTTCGGATACAATTAGTAACGCAAATTGAATTACCAATTGGATTCATCGCTGGATTTCAAGTAAGCAGATTTGATCGTACAATACGTGCACGTAAAAATGCAGAAATAGATGAGAAATGATGATCAGTTTCAGTTACACATATGTAAATATTAGAGATGGCATCTTGCCGAACTTCACCATTACGGTCGATCCATTTTCGTGGTAGAGCTGTTGCCACTAGATCTATTTAAATCCGTAGCAAAGAATTCTTTAACTAGTTCTATCCATGATGTCACTCGAATCCACTTGTGCCTCATTTGCAAACAGGGCATACCTTCAGAGTGATCGAATAATCGTAGTAAAATCGACCTCAGCCAGGCAAATCTTTGTGTTCTAGGGATTAGGGAGACTCCGCTTCCTTTTATTAGTAAAACAGCTGAACAGAAAAAAAATCTGCTAGTTGTTGATAGTGAAAAGCTTTACTCAAAGGTATACACCGACCTAACCTACTAGCGCTCTTGTTGCATTGCACGGGCCTAGCTTTACATTCTGCCCGCCTAGACAACCTTCCTTTTTTTCATTAACACAGAGAAATCGGACATCTCTTACAGGATCAGAAGACGTCGAAATATCTGAATCAGGATAATTATACGATCGAATTATGGTAACGGAATTGCCGAGGCAATGCGATCGAATCGCCAAAACAGGGTGGTAAGAAAATGGAGTTGGACAATACATCGATATACCAAGACACGATTGTTTAGTGAGCACCGTGTACAGAAAATTGTAATGCAACACTAGCAAGGATAACAGTTGCAACGGGTTAATAACGGGGGGCAGTAAAACAAAGCGATAGTTCACCTTGAGCGAGCTCATGAATGTATTTATTATACTAGGCTTGGGTACCGGTAACTAAATTTAGGCAAATATTGCTCTGCACGCATTGTACTGTCATATAGCTACAACGGAAATAGACAGCGGCCCTGCTATTCACGATCATGTGAGCGTGTATTTGCAGAGTGGTTTGTTTTGAAGACCCCCCGACGTCTAATTGGCTTTCTAAGGGGCGGAGATTGTCAGAGTGCAGCTGTTGAACTCTTCTCAGAAGCTATTAGTCATACGTAATATTTTCGTATTGTTGCCCTCACCTGCAGAGTGACATGCCAAGAACTTCATCTTCCTCCCGACCGTAGCGAAACCTTCCAACGAGGGCCACGTAGAGGCTTTCTCCAGGCGAAAGTTTGGTTGAATCGCACGTAACGAACCCCTCTAAAAGTAACAGAACACGAAAAATATATTTGTTTTCACTCCTACACATGCAAACAAACAGTAACATACGTTGCTAATTGTGACGAACGTTCCATACCTAGATATCAACCTGACATCCCCTCTGTATCTGGGGGTCCCTTTTCTACTTCAATTCCTTGCCGAAACCCTCGAAGAACAGGCCTAAATTTCGGAACGTCAGCCCCGATGCATGTGCCCTTTTTCTTCCTCTTGTGCTCCTCATATATATATATATATATATCGATGAGCTGCATATTTTTCCTAGCGAGATTGGGCATCGCCCAGACTTCACGGAAGTCTATGTATTCTAGCCGTGCGTAGGCCTTTCTTTATTTTGGTTTACACCTCTACTTGATTCCTCAACAAATAATGCTGCCCCGTAAAACAACTGTATGAATTGGTTGCCAGAAGAAGCATGAGGCCGGTATTCGCGCGGAGAGGACCGGCTAAATTCCCGAGAGCCTAATTTTTTTTATTTACCGCGAGGTATTTTCATATCTACAGCCAACCGTATGGTTCACAGAGTGTAGCTTTTGAGTAAAGATGTTTAGCGTCCTTTTTCATGGGAGCTTGCATACGTTCTATCTTTATTACGGCCGGTAGTGCCCTGCGAGTCCTTTGGAGATGCGTTCTACGGACAATCGTCTATTTAGAGTCGACGGTATTCTTCGAAATTCACGCATTCGATGATCGCGTTGCTGAGCTGAAGTCAGTCCGTCCCGGCTGGCGCTCCCCTGGTGCGAAACGTTGTTGCTTCGGTGTTTTGCACGCTCACTTTTAGCCCGAGTTCATCGGCGTACCTAGATGTTGTCACTAATGGTTGTTAGAAGTGGCGATGGCCTGTGGTGGATAAGGTGGTACAATCGACGAACTTCGACGAGATTTGTTATCGAGCGTTGCTTCTTGATCTGGCTTGGTAGGTCATTGATGGCTGCTAAGAATAGATATAGCGACAAATGGTCTATAAGGAACTGAGTCAGCTGCTTTAACTGCACCCTACCGGCAAAAAGCTCTCTCGAGTTTTCTCTCGTTTACCGTTAAATATACCCGACGGCAGAGCCACTTTCTCGGAACGCGATCACGCCTCAGATAAGTACAGAACAGGGCTGTACAACAAGGTGCTACAAAAACGACCTGCTGTAAAAACGCACTGCGAATTAGATCGGGCCCAGGCGCTTTGTCCCTCAGTATTTCCCACATTTATGCGGCAATTATCTTTTACATTTTCGTATTGAGCGTGTCGTGTTATTCGGGTGTTAGCTGGTTTGATGTGCGCAACGTCCAACGGTGGAAAACCCTACTTTGATCTGTCAGTGTGTTTTTATAATCCTGAACTGCTCTGATTGGACGGAATGATATAACAATTTGTCGCAGTTAGCAGTGAAGTTGCAGACGTGCAAGTCCCGACAGTGGCTCCTTTGGTCCTTATGGCAACGTTTTCAGGCATCGACCAAAGTTCGCTGGATAGCCTTATTCAGCGCAGGACAGGACAAATCGTTGAGTATGAAATACTAGGTTAAACGGATGTAAGCGTGAGTGGTGCGATGATGAAAAAAATATTTCAGTTTCTTTCAGCGATAGGTGTTTTCCACTGTAGCACAAATGACTATATTTTACACGTACGTGTAGCTGTCTATCGTATATTATTTACGGCAATACCTGGATCTTTCACTAGGTTACTGAGAGCTATGTAAGGTAATGAATGTACTAAGTTATGCAAGTAATGGGGAAAGTGGACCTTCTTGGGAAAAGTTACGCAGCGCAGAATTACACAGATTCGCCAGGAAGCTTTACCTGCGCAAACAAATTGTAGTTGTACCTCAATTAAGTATGACAAGCATAGTGCTACCTATGTTAATTATTATATAGCTTTTATCAAAGGTAAGCCTTTTCGAAGGACACTAAGAAACAGTTTTACAACTATATACGCTATTTTTCGTTTTCGACATTCATTCTATTATAGCATATAATTTATCCCTAAGACGTCTTTTTTTATTTGTTGGCAAGTTATTTAATAGCCAAATGCTTCTGGACATAGAGTCTCTTTAGACTCTACTACACTGTCGCCGTGATAGCGTAGTGGGTAAGGTTCTTTGACTGATTATTTTAGGGATAGTTGTAGTCTATCCGGTAAAAGGCATACGCTTTGTTTCGCGTTTAGCGGGAGCCAACCGTCTGGTGGAATACCTAACGCCGATATCAGACGTGACTCTATAAATAAAGAGACGCTATTATAGTAACCGTGGCGCTCCGGCGCATAGCACCTTACCGGCACGTCACAGAATCCGCTCGTAGGCCCGCTAGAAATGAACTCCTTTTTTTTTAGCAATGTTTTTTGTCCTATCGTGTGACGGCTAGAAAATAGGCGAGCCGAACATTCTCTCTGTACGGCGTGAGTTGAAATGACTGTAAATTTACATAATGAAAAATCACTTCTGTATCCCGTTACCCGTTACGCGTTATAGGTATTACCGTAACGTACTTGAACCATCATTGTTCGGTTGCAGTCTCTTTACGTAGGAAGTTCATCGCCTTTTAGCTAATATCACGTCTAAGCGTTTGCATTACACAACTTATTCGTTCATTTTTGAGTTTGCTTTTTAACAAGTTACATACCTGTATAAGATTTCATCATTAGATAGATGTACGTCGTAAAGGATTGGTTGCAGAGGTTCGTAATAAGTTATTTAAGAGAATAAGTAATTCAAGGTGAGCCTTTCGGAGGATCGGCCGTGTAGGCTATACCGCAATAGTATATATACGAATCATAATCACGGTCTTTTTTTTTTTTGATTGTGTTTGACGATTTGACTCCCCTCAAAACGGTGATAATTCGCTTGTTTTAGAGATCATCCTGATGTTGGATGATCTCTAGAACAAGGTTTGTTGTGATTTTCATCATCATCAGTTCCGTGGACAAGCCTAATCTTATCATAGCTATAGGCTAGTGCGACTATACTGAAGCATTACATACAATCCAATAGATCCGTCTAAAGCATTGCAGGAAGCAAGCTATGGGTAAACTAGCTAACAGCCAACTTCTACCAATTTTGAAGATAAACTGTTTTGCCCCGAGCAAAAAATAACTATTCTAATAGTAAGAATCGTATAAACATAGACCGATAGCCTTGGCTGATCTTTTCGCCTAACAAAAAACAAGAACCTCAAGCATCAGTTTGATTCCATCTGTTCTGGCCAGTACCATCTTCCTTTCTTCGTTGTGAAGAAAGCCGAAGGCTACGGACCGCAATTCCCCTGTTGTCATAAACGCGGTGCACTAATACAACTCTCAGAAACTGCTAAAGACGGTCCTTTTTTGTGCTATCCACAGCAGTAGTGGCAAAGGCAAAAGGCGATGACACAGCCTAAGTCAGGCATCAATGCCAAATGGTGGCAACACAAACCAGGATTAAAATATTCAATTAGGTGAAGAGAAAACGATACAAAGGAAAACCAATGCTTTCACCTAGACGATATCCACAGCTACCTTCGAAGTCTCATTTTCGGCCCTACATACTGTACAGGAACAGTCATGATAAAAAAAGAAGCTAATTGATAATGATATATCATAAACATAGATGGGAACAAGCAATGACACATAATACAATGGAAAAGATCTTCAAAGATCTGATCTAGATGCTATCATTAAGCATATGTGTAGTAACTGCTGAGCAAGACAATAGAAATCACGAAAAAACGCAGTGCTTACTTTGGCCTCCGGTCTGTCTTTACCATGCTACAGAATTGTCATTAACGTTCGTAAACCGCCAAACAACTTTCACGCGAGTGTAGCACTATTCCGTAACTACTGTCAGATTTCGAGACTTAATCAATACTCTGTTTTGTATAGTGGCCTAATAGAGTTGCTGACAATAGCAGCCCAAACCGGTGCATTTGATAAGTCATTTGCCGGATGCGAGGTTAGGCGAAAAACAATATTTGACAGCGGTGGGAAAATGACCGTTGGGCATCTTAGTAAGCCCTACACTTCTCCCCCAGTTGCTGGAAGTTCTTTCCTTTACTTTGAAGGAGAGAACGTACTGTTAGTCGCAAGACAGCAATGGGGGGCAATATATACGATCACAGACGTGTCGAGCATGTGAAGTACCATGGATTAGGAAAAATGGGTTTGATCTAGAAGATGACGACAGAGCATGTACGTAGATAAAACATGTCACATTGAGCAATGTCTGAACGTACGACAATAAGCTTAGTGGTGAAGCTGTTCAAAAAATCGAATAGATTCCCCTTAGCTTATCGTCCCTGACAGCTGTGCTTCCTTGTCCGTAAAGCAGACTAGAATCTGCCCTGCAGGCGTGTACACTAGTCCTATACGTGACCCTTTTTGAATCTGTTAGGCACTTCGAAAAACCGAATAATTGTTTGTCCTATAATAATAATCGTATCACGCAAAGAGATTTGTATTTACCAAGACGGATAGGTCTGTATTAATCAAATGGCATTTTCTGTAGAAAATTATTATGGTTAACAAGATTAACATTCGAGTCAACAAGCGAGTTCACAAAGGATTACCTGCTACGAATTTCTAAACAGCCGTTCCCATTTGGGAAAAAATCTAACTCAGTAGAAAAAAAGACGACGCTTGTCGTGCTCCTTCAAATAATTGATTTTCATTTAATGACAGTATAACTTCTGAAGTTTAGAATAGGAAGCACAAAAGCGCACGCTACTCTTCCGTGAGTTCCTCATTTTATTTTACTTTATTGCTTCATCATGTTTCCTTCAGCTCCTGTTAGGATCAATAACTATTTAGCTCCATTTACCACACATTTAATGGACGCGTTTCGACACATAGTGCGTATAAATAAAGATGTCAAATTATATGTCAGGCTGACACGTGCGGTAATGGTATTTAAAACAGTACTGACAGAGGTAAATAGGGAGAGAAAGAGACAATGCTTACCCACAGCGTCTGTGTCACAACCGAGGTCTTGATATTCCACCTTATAGAGATAGATTGTTGTCTGGAATGATAAGGAAATCAGCGACATTTAACAGGACACATGTTAATATCGAATGTATATAAAACAAGTGATCCTATCGCTGGTCCTACGACTACATTACGTTGGATAACGGCCGTAGAGCTATTGTTGTTAAACGATTGAAATATTTTCCAGAAAATAGCATTTCTACGAGTATCTGTATTAAAATGAGGCAAAACACTCGAAGAGCACTGTTGTATGCTTTACACGGTTACACTGGGCTTTACACTGGGCTACGATTATTGGCGATAGGCATCCAACATGGATGTTACTCTGTAAGCATAGAAACATGCACTGTATTCCGGACTGAGCGTTCGGATAAGTGAATCAGAACTGCTTACTGAAAATAATATCTCTTTGCGCAGAATATGTAGCGACTGTCATTAAGCGGAATGCGGTTCACTGAGGGGTTCGAATGAGCCTATGAGGACCACGTCGGAGTCGTCCCCCAAATGTAACTTGTTAATATTACAGCATTAGCTCACCGAAAATTATATGTATTTATATACATCTACATACACAGAGTATTAGAAGTATTTAGTTGGTTATCTACCTGGACTGTTTTCATTTTGTTGATCCCTCCGCTAGCGGCAATCGGAAGTCCGATTGAGCTGGCCGCCACCCAATTCAGCACCTGGTTTCAGGGATCTATGCAGAGCTACTTTGGCACCCGTTTCTCCGCCTTGGGTATAAGCTTCATATTATCATTTGGACTGAAGCCCGTCTCGCTTGCAAATCTCTCTCGGGATTTTTTCCTACAACTGAGGTTTGGGATATCGTCGACACGAGCATTACATCCTAATCCCCAATTTTCCATTGCCATTACCGAATCGTTTTCGGAATGGTGGCCGTATTATAGCACTACAAAAAAGTAGAACTCTGCTTCGCCCGTCTATCAATTTAGATAGGATAGTTCACTTCTGACTCCGTTAATAAATGAACGGGAATCACTACCTAAATCCTTTGTAGCAGATCTCTCGAAACGCATACATATGGCCAATATATTTGGCCACCGAACCTTTTCTGGTTTAGTAGATGACAATGCGATAATAGGACAGGCAGGTCAAGTTAGTTAATTTACTTGAGTTTCGCTGAGTCTCAGCTATCACATTCGACACGATATCTAAACACGACAAACAAAATTATAAAAAAAAAAACATACGATGAAGATAGTCCCGAAGGAAATCTACGGAGCTTTGGTTTAAAATGTACTTTGTTTAGAGTTCAGAATCATTACTAATCCAAGTGCAAAAGACATTTGATGAAGTACATGTCTGTTGATAGACAAAAGCATTTATTCAAATCAATAAGAACGCAATTTCGAGCCTTAGCTTTGCTGCCTAAACTAACTTGTCCTTATTATTCAATACACCATACAGTAACAATAATCTAGGTCCAATTACGTACGTATAATTCACGACTAATAACATTCTAAATTCTGCTTAGTCTCAACAGAGTTAGGCCATGTCAAATAAGATGACCTACTGGCGGCCTTTGCGCTGATGGCTTGGTTCCTGCTCTCCGGTATAGATCGATCATTCGCAAAATTCAGCTGTCAAGTAAGCTAACTAACGTCGCTTACTTCGTCCTTATAGTCTCCAAGATAATGTGACCTGCTTGACAGTATCTCTCAGCAAATGCAATAATAGCCAACTGGATGACCTTGAAGGGTAAGCTGGGCCGCTCGACGTCTCTATGGAAAAAGGAAAACCTTTTCTGGAGCTTGATTTGGGGTTGTAGGGAGAAGTGTTCTCACACACCAGTGGTCTTTAGTGGCAAATAAGGAGAACAGCGAAAAGGAATAGCATGGTAGAGATGGTGGTTGAATGCCAAGAGCGTCGGGTACCTGTATGGCCTTTCAGCCATCCTTCGTCGATTCGTTTTTGTTTTCTTCTCTGCTAAATACGGGTAACACCATCCTGTCTTGATATGGACGGATGGTCTTTCGCTAATCACGAGCGGCTATCGGAAATTCATGTACTACTAGTTTTACTGTAGAAAGTACTTCCTCTAGCAGGACGTCCGTGATAGAGTTCTTCCTTCCACTGTTTGGCATTGTTAGCAGGAGCAGTAATGATATTTGTTAGAAATCATGTCCTTTTTCTCACCCTCTATTTCGTCGAAGTATTTCTGGAATCAGTGGGACCCGGAAGGGTCACTGTTGCTACACCAACTTGCCCTCTGTGGCCAGTAATTTCGAGCGTGTTAAAGGGGTAGTTAGCGCAACGGGTAACGCATTCAATAGTTTATTCAATAGCTACGTACAGCTTTAGCGGCACCTAGTGCATTTGCATACGACCATACTTTGAAGGAGTAAGATTTAAAGGAAGCAAATAGATATAAGTAAACCTCTTTCTATTCTGCTGATGAGACTAGATCAGCTCCGGCATTTGTTTTAGAGCCACGTGCCACAGTGAAAAATCGAAAATAGGGCTTCATACCACACTGTGACGTTACAGGGGTTAAGTGTAGCTCACATGAGGTTTGTACGTCGATACAACTTTACTTGAACAAAGAACTTCAAACGATCATCTAAATTATAGCTGCTGGTAAACATTTTGAGAGGACGACTAAAGTTAACGGCGTATGCTCATGTAATCCATTTTGACGTCTTTAGGGTCGCACTGACAAGACCGCGTCACAGCAAACGATGTCCTCATTGCTCCTGAATGATTCAGGACGACCGCAAATTAGTCTGTTCTTTGTTGTATGACAACACAATTCGTTATGTAAACGAGCATGAATTCAATTGGGGTCAGGGCATAGCTTAACGAGGCTGGTCATCTCGTAAGGCTAAGCGGCGTAAGAAAGAAATGAATCCTTTACTTGGTGTAAAAGCAGCATAAATATTGTTCCTCGACTGCGTACGCTAATCAATATTATATACAATATTACGAGTACTAACGCTGTTTATTGTATACAGAACGATCAGCGTTGACATTGTGAAGGTCGCTAACTGTGTCGTCGAAGTAAGCAAGGGTAATTATGTTTGCGAGTGGTTTGAATTGACGCATAGCTAGTGGACCTCCAACCCCTTAATCCGAAAGAAGAATAGAGAAAAGAGCTTTTCAAACCTATTTCCTTGAACTTATAGGTCTCGATGACTAGATTTGAACGGGTTGAGCGAAAATCTCCACTGATAGCCATAAAGTATACGCGAACATTCAGTAGCTGCCAAAGTCGTGCTGTGGTAGCCTTGCCATCATCAGACATTAGTAGTAATGGACAGTATCCAAACAAGACACCCTAATTATGGTAAGAAGTGTGAAAAGACTGGAAAACTTTCGAAGTAATGTTAATTACGTTTATTCCAAAGCATGTATACCTGTGTATTTTTATTTTATTAATTAAATATTATTTTATTATAATATTATATATTATTATGTTTCGTGCATTACTATATACTCCCCGTGATCGAACGAGACTTTAATGGACTGATATCTGAATCTAGTGGACGTTGCCATGTCTATTATTATGGTCATCTGTATCTAAAAGCGAATACGACTCTTGTCGAAATGCTACTAGCTGCTTCGACTTTTGCGTACGGAACTACCGCTGAATCTCGTAAGGCCAAACGGTTCTCTGCCGTGTTCCCCAAAATTCGATCTTACGTATATCTTACGGATCACCGAAAATCGGTCTTCAAAGATTTCGGGACAATTGCTCCACCTATACTCAATACACATGTACTAATATTTCGTTCCAGGAGATTACTACGAAGAGAACTATTTGAAAATGTCTTATATTTGGATTGAACTTGATTGCTAAATTGCTTTAAATCGTCTGGAATCGTCTCCCCTTAATGCACACGTTCACAGATGGCCATACTGTGTGGTACGCACCCAAAATTACACGCGCACTCGGCCTTCTGCGGCTATCGGTAGCAACCTTCTGCGTTGGCTTCTGCGCACACGCGAATCATCATCGAATTAAGCTTCTTGGATTGAATTTATAGACTTGAATATGATTTTTATCAAACATGGCGACCGAATACGACGGTACCGCAGTTGAGTACGAAACTTAGAAGCAATAAAGGGACTGTGAGACAATTCAAAGATCTCTCTCTGTGTTATGCAGTCAATCACACGTCCTCTCCTTCTTAGCATCATGGACAGATAGCAGCAATCGGTAGCCTTTACATCGCCTCTCTATTTATCATATAATCTATACCTATTACCAATAATAATATATGATCTCTAAATTTGTACTCCTGAACATGTATTTTAGTGATACTTTGTCACCCAATATCCTCTGTTCTAACATTCCTTTGTACATGTATATTTTTTAAATAGCGGTAATTTCGAAAACTACTCCAAAGACTTGGGTCGGGTCGGGTCGGGTCGGTCCGGCTCAACAAAAGACCCAATGATAAAAAGGATTCATTCATTTTAGTAACATATATTTCAAAATGAATCTGTTATAAGTAGGCAAAGCTGCTAGGTCAAGTATATCTGCCTCAATAATGGGTAACGCAATAAGTAAATACCACTTTTATTAGAATGTTTTATAGAATAGAAAGGATTTACATATTAGGGTAACTGTTATTTTTTTTTTCTCGGAAATAGGTTAAAAAGTAATAAGAAGCTTTGTGAAACTCACTTCCGTATAGCACATCAAAATGTAAGGGGATGGATATTGGTTTCGACGATTTTCATAGTTACCCAATAGAACAATGTTGTTAATAATAATACTAGTAGCACGTCATAGATGAAAATGTGTTTGTCCTATTCAGTTTATCACACATACGGCGACTATCGTATATAACTATGATTGGAACTTCTGTCTCATAACTGTAACTGAAGAGTTCTTCTTGAAGCGACATCTTTTCGGTAAGTTAACGAAGAGTTTACAACGTAATTGAGTCAGCACGGACTCATAACAATAAGCGTTACGAAGTTATGTTACTTTCTAGTAAACCACAAGTTTGATGACTTTTATGAAGAAATGTGTGCGTTCGAGTAAATAGAATTGTCATTGTAACT